GAAATATAGTTTGAGTTGCTGTTTTTAAAAATAGATAAATTTGTTTTGCTGTATTTCTCTTATGAAAAAGGATGAAAAAAGATTGTTAAAGACTAAGTCCTCTTTTTTTTCTTCATGCATTTTTATTGTTATAAGGTGATGTACAGAGGAGTTTATAGTTAGATAAGTCAGATATAGAGTACATTTCTTTTTGAACAATGGACTAAAACCTCTTCTGACTGGGCTCTAGCTTTGCATCACTACTGTTTTATTTGTAGCCTCATAGTCTCAATATGGCTGCTGTATCCCCAGATATTATATCTTTATTCAAAGCACAATCACAAAAGGAAAGGATGGCACAAAGAAAACAGTACATTCTACCTGAGTCTGTGTCTATTCATCAGGAAAATTATAGTTTTCCCAGAAGCTTTATCCCCTAGAATTAGGCTTATGTCTTACTGGGAAAACTGCATCATGGATTACCCTTAACTCAGGAAATCTAAGTACATGTTTAAATGGGTATGTTTTTGCACCACACTAAATTGTGGTTCTGTCAATAGATAAGAAGAGGAACATACCAATTGTTTAGCTTACCAGCAGCACCTGCTGTGTGAGGAAGGGACACAGAACAGAGCCTCATGCCTTGCCCATATTAGTTAAATGAGAAAAAAAAAGGTTTCTACAGAAACAATTGTTGCCTAACATTTTTACAATGAAAAGATACTACTTTCATATTAACTTGAATGCAGATTTTTATTTGAAATCCTAGAGCATCTTACAGTGCCAGAAAGTAAGTGCTTACACACACACACACACACACACACACACACAAGTGTGCCCACAGGCATACACAAAATCCACTGGTATTTTATGGGGACACACTCTTGGCTTCTTGTTCTAGCCAGTTCCTGGGGTACACTCTTTACTGTGAGTGGGGTTTCAGGTTCTGTTCATCGTCAATCTGTTTTTGCTGGACGTGGGGCCTGAACTATGGGCCTGGGTGCTGTCCCTCAGCTCTTCAGCTCAAGGCTAGCGCCCTACCACTTGAGCCACAGTGCCACTTCCAGCTTTTTCTGCTTATGTGGTGCTGAGGAATTGAACCCAGGGCCTCATGCATGCAAGGTAAGCACTCTGCCACTGAGCCACCTTCCCAGCCCTGCCATAGTATTTTTAAAAGGGACATATGGCTGGGTGCCAATGGCTCAGGCCTATAATCCTAGCTTCTCAGGAGGCTGAGATCTGAGGATTGAGATTCAGAGTCAGCCCAGGCAGGAAGGTCTGTGAGATTTAGCTCCAATTATCCACTAACAAACTGGAAGAGGAGCTGTAGCTGAAGTAGAGTGTCAGCCTTGAGTAAAAAAGCTAAAGGGCAGTGCTGAGGTCCTGCAAGTTCCAATACTGCAACCAAAAAAAAATTAAGGACACATAAAGAATGTTGGAGCCCATGTCTGCCAAAACAGAAACCCATAAACTGGCTGCTTACAACAGAAATATCTTCTTCACAGTTCTGGAGGTTGGAAATCTGGGCTCAGGCACTAACTTGGCTGGGCCTCTCTGGCTGCACACTGACAGCTTTCCTCACCCCTTTTCTTCTTTTTTAATAAGAGCACTGATACCATTAATAAGAGCTTCATTCTCATAACCTAATCACCAGCCCAAGGCCTAGTCTCATAACATATCATGATTTCCACATATGAATTTGGGAGACACAACATTCACCTTAGAGTAGAAGAGTACACTATTATACCATTAGACTATACAGATTTCCCAAGGCTGATTATTGCTAAACTTAACAGAGATACTGCACAGAAAACAGGTGCAACTATTTTGGAGACTCTGCTATAGTAACTACTTGTAGAAGTATACCTTACAGATACATTTTATACCAATATGCAAAGATAAACATAACGTGTATGTAAAACAATTCATTTGTGGTGTATGACTATAATGTCAATACTTGGGAGGCTGAGGCAGACAGATTAAGAGTTTGAAGCTACCCTGGTCTATATAAGGAGACCCTTACTTCCCTCCTCCAAAAAAGATAAAGCAACTTAAGTGTTCATTAATGAAGCAATGATTAAACAGATTATACTCTTCATTTAGCAGAATTACTTGTGGAAAACAGAAAAAGGTTCACCAATGTGAAGTTTCACAAAGATGCTCCATATTTTTTTATGGATAAATTTGTGTTTGTATCTACTGAACATGTCTAAAATGACATAGATTACCTCTAAATTTTATGCTTTTTACTTTTATATAATTTCATATTCTGTTGTTTAGAATCATTTTCAACTTCAATGTTTTTATAACATGTATTGAATAGTAAGTCACAAAGTTAGCTTGCAGCTACTCAGTGAATGAGTTTATATTATACAAATATCCTTTAGTCACAGGATATGTGAGAAGAAACAAGATGAACTGGAATAATTAGTTTTTTATGACAAAATTATGTTAAATATAATTTAGCACATTATGAATCACAGAAGAAGAGAAAAGTTAGATGTGCTTGAAATATGAGATTACTTATTTTTTAAATATATATTTTTATTGTAAAGATATTGTACAGAGGGGTGACAGTTATATGAATAAGGTACATTGTTACCCCTTCCTTTGTTTTTCCCCTACCATCCCTTTCCTCCCCATAAGGTTACTTCTTAACATTACATTTCAATGAGAGGTTATAAATACATTGTTTCAAATTTATATGAAGATATAAGTGACCCAGAGGGTTTTGCAATTCAGAAGCAACTCAGAGAAAGAGAAATTCTCTGTCCTGGAAAAACTTGTGATTATCTGTGCTATATGTAAAGACAGGAAGACAGAATTTGATTTTACGTGAAAAATAAAAGTGCCCCAGGAAGAGAAAGTGTAAGAATGAAGAGCATCAGTCAAATCGTAAGAAAATTGTTACATGATTTTTTTACAAGGTAAATGTCTTACATGGCGAAATGCCCCAATATGAAACTATTTCTCTTACTAGAGTATTCATTTAGTGTCTGTTCTTGCTATTCAGAAACTGAGCCTTTGGAAACCTGTGTCCACACTTTGCTCCAAGGAAAGAGGGGTCATGACTAATAAGAAGGCTGTAGCCAAGGTACATCTTAAAGGCTATGTATTCCTAGCTGCACCTGAGAGAATGATCCAAGTTCCAAATGGACATACTTCTTTGTTTAGTAACCGAAAAATGACACTCTGTGGATGTCTTGTCCAGTGTTACCACCAAAGGGTTTTCACCAAATTTCATCACAAAATAAGGGTTTTGACAACTCGCTGTTTTGTGAGCATTATTCCTCAGTTTCTCACACAGTAACCCCACTCTCACACCTGTATGTAGGTCACCTGGCAAACATTCTGAGGGCGGATGTGTTTACAGCTGTGAAGATGGAATACGTGATGTGAGGGCAGCAGCTATAGAAGGCCAAAGCCTCTCAAAGGCATGTTACTTTTCTCTCAACTCTTTTGCCTGAGTAGGATGTTGAGAGAGGATATGGAATGAGAAATTAAATTTCAATTTTATCCCTAGATGTTGGAAGTTAGGTGAAATTCCATCACCCTGGAATAGGTCTAAGCAAGCACTTTGTTACCCTTTATCCTTTAGTGGAAGTGATGAACAGGTGTTTTTCAGAAGATCACTCAGTATATTTAGCTTCTGAAATTTGAGTAACTCAAGATCTGATTGGCTGTTCTTGCCACATGATAATCAGATTCACAGGCACCACTCCGGCTTTTGCCTGGGGTTCTCAGGAGGGGAGAGCTGGGAGAGGATTTGCTGCTGAGGATTATTTGATAGCTCGAAGGTAAGGCCAGTTTGTATCTTTTTCTGTAATGTTCTCTGGAAAGAATATTCCACAACTGCCCTTGACGTTGTTTTCAGAGTTCTGGGTCTTATCTGAGGAAAGCGGTTATGAAATCCTGCTTGGAAAGGCTTTAGTAAACCCCATTGCCCTATGAAGGCCCAGATACCCCAAGACTGTGTGACTCAAGGCCGGTACTAACCAATTCTTGACCAAATTGGGCAGTCTTGTTCCACTAGAATTTTAGATTTCATTTCTCCTTTAATTTTTTTTCCTTAATTACATTAGTATGCAAAAGGATCAATGTGTAATGTTCCTATATTTATCCTGTTCTATTAGGCTTCATTCGCCTCAGAGTGGCAGTTTCGCCAGCTTAACAAAACCATCCACCCCAGGGTATTGGTTTACACACCAAGCGTCTTTGGTCAGAGGCACAGCTGCTCTGAGCTGTCATCCCGCTTGCTGGCATTGAATTGAAGAGGCCTTGAGTCTTTCCTCAGTTCCTCAATTAGAAACATAGGCCAAAGATCCAGTCTTACGTGTATTTCAACTAATGCTTTAAAACCTTATTGTCTTTCAGAGTTGAATGAGAGCTACAGAAACAAAAGAAAAATAATCCATAAATGCCAATGTTTTCGGGGAGAAAATAACTCCATTGCCTTGAGGTTTCTATTTTTCTTCTAAATTCTATCAACTAATTTCTTGTGTTATGTGTTCAAATTGGAGGCCTAGTATACACTGTGTATAATACTCTAGATGAGGATAGAAAACTAAGGTCTCTTAGAACTTCAGTGCTATATAAAACATTCTACTCCTAAAAGCCAACCTGACTTTTCCTTTACTAGAAGTTTGGCTTGAAAGTATTTATTATCCAGGTGTTTGGAAATCTACATTCTCTGTTTATTGAGCTCAAAGCCTAACTCTTTTATCAACTTCCTTTTATAATTTTGACTAAATTGATCTTGTAGAAATAGTCAATATGTTACTGTGGGAATAAAGGAGAGAGATTTGAAGCTTTGTTGTATAGGCTTTTACTTGACATGCTTTCTCTACCCTTAGCCTGTGAAAATAGGCTAATATAGACTTGATTGGTTTGAAATTCTATTTTATGGTATTCTTTTTTTTCTATTTTATGGTATTCTAATTTCTGTCCTGAGGTTATATTCTAATCTATTTTAATTTGTACTGAATATGAAAAGTTTGTAGGTACAACTACTACTCGGGAAAATGGCAGATGACGAAGAATACGAGGAGGTGGTGGAGGTAAGGTCAAAAACAAAAAACTTTGACGGCACCAGTATTTATGGAGTGACAAGGACAAATAGATGAATCAATCATTAGAAAAAAATACAGCATCTGTTCTAACTCCACAAAGAGTCATCATTTAAGTCTAAGAAAGGAATATTTTATGTTCAGTTTCACTATAATTATGTGGGATTTAAAATCAAATTAAGATACCATTTTTGCCTTCTTTAAAGTTGCACAGAAAAGTTTCAGAAAGACAGAGGGTTTTTTTTTTGTCTTATGAAACTTCTTTCTTTCCCATCTAATCCCAATGATCAAAGAGAGAGAAGCAATGGGAGCAAATTGTGCAAGCTGAGCTGTTTGTAGGAGTTCACAGCAAGGAAAGGGCTTTCCTCGGCTATGCATCCACTGGTTGAATATGTATAGGGCTATGTGAGTTAATGTAGTCTGATTCACCCTGTATATGAGATTTTGCATGTGTTTATGTGGATATAACATACCTACAAACACATAAACATAACTTTCAGTCAAAGCCACCTTCTTTCTAACTCCATGGTATTTATGCATGTAGGACTAGCTTCTGCTAGATAAAGTGACCATAGTGAAAGTCTTGAAAAATTTCCTTCAGATAATTGGTGGAAATCTGACATATTTTACTAAGTTGTTAGTTTATCATCTTGCTATTTTAAGTCATTTGTTTGAAAATATTATGGCTTTTCTCCATCAGCTCTTTAACTTCACATTCTAGAAATCTAAAGGCTTGGGGCTTTATCCATATTAAAACATTGCCATGAATGGAAAGAATGTAAATATTTCCAATTAGTGATCTAATAATATGATCATTTTGAAATTAAGTATAAGAGCTACCCCAAGCAGAACTCCAGATAAAAGAACCAAATTTTGTCTATAATTGATGAACACACTTTTATTCTATAAATAAAATTGCCTTTTTATTTTATCTTGGAGATATTCTTGTTACGTAGCCCAGATTGTCTTCAAACTCAACCTTACTTCCTAGCTTCCTCAAGTACAGGAATTATAGGCCTGTATCAGCACCCCTAGTTTAAAATTACCTTTATTACCTGAAGTGTATTTAAAAAAAGAAGCCCAGAGTGGATCTCAAACAGTATAGTATTCAACCCAGTGTAGTGTTCGACCTCTCTGGCTGAAAGGCCAGTGAGAACACCCTGCATAGTCAGTATATGTTATCACTAGTGCATTTTATATGTGTCTCTAAGAGTCAGCATTATCACTTTCAAACACTAACACATTAATATAAATTCTATTTACAGACTAAATTGTCTACCCTATCATAATAATATCAGGAAGTCTTTTTAAACATCAAGTTAAATATCTCTTGTCTTTCTTAACATAACTATATGTTCATTTGTCACTGGAAATTGTCCTTCATGGTAGACATGATTGGACTAGTCACAGAAAAGGAAGGGATTATTTTTAGGCATCCCATCCCTGCATTTTGTTCCCATTCTGCTTCTGGGTAATAGATGCCCTTCCAGAGAATGTTGAACTGTGCTCTCTTTGGTCTCAGAAAGGATGGTGAAAATGGGATGGTAGAAAGTCTTAGAAAATTGATTGGGGAAGAGTTCAAAAAACAGGGGAACCAGTTTTTTTCTCAACGTGTATCTCCTAGAAATCTTGGACAACTGAAAACAATTTTACTGCCATTCTATATTCAAACTAAGAGGAAGAAGCAAGGAGATACTGTCTAATCAGCAGAACTAAAAAGAACATAAATTCGGCATATGAATTAATGTCAACCATTCAGATAATGTTACCTTTTCTGTGAGCTAATTTCTGATATACATATATATATATATATGTCAGAAATATATGTCAGAAATAAGAGAAAGGAAGCATAAAATATATAAATATATATGAGAGCCAATGAATGGCAACCTTTGATAGTTCTGAAAGAGCTATCTTTTACTTGGATGCTGAGCAAACTAAAAATAGTTGGGAATTGGGGCTGGGAAGGTAGCTCAATGGTAGAGTGCTTGTCTTGTATGCATGAGGCCTTGGGTTCAATTCCTCAGCACCACATAAGCAGAAAAAGCTGGAAATGGCTCAAATGGCAGAGCGCTAGCCTTGATCTGAAGAGCTGAGGCTCAGGCCCAGAATTTAGGCCCCATGACCAACAACAACAACAACAACAATGAGTTGGGAATCATTTATTTTAGTTTGATATTCTCAGTCACTTGTGTTTTCTGTGACCACAGCAACACTTCTGTGTGTCAGCAGCCTTGAGCAAGGTTCCTCAGAGTATCCAAGTGATCTTTATTGTGTGCTGACGCCACACGTACCAGAAGTGTCTCTCTGTGCTGTAAGCGTATACTTCTGTTATAGATATGAAGGGGAAAAAAGAACAGATTTCAAACTTAAAAAACAACACAAGGGCAGCTGGTCATGCCTGTAATCCTAGCTATTGTAGAAGCTAAGATCTGAGGATCACAGTTTGAAACCAGCCTAAGCAAACAAATCCAAGAGACTCTTATCTCCAATTAGCCGCCAAAGTCAGGACTGGAAGCAAGCCATGAGTGCAAAAGCCAATCAAGAGCATGAAGCCCTAACTTCGAGCTTTAGTACCAGCACTCACATATACAAAGGCAAAGAAAACTCATTAAGAAAGTCACTGCAGGTGAAAGCAGATGGCCTGCTGGCCATGGTTAAATACTTGGAGCATTTACCTAACTAAAAGCAAAAGAAAGGAGGCCATTGAAGGAAAATGTGTGTTTGGTGTACATCTGCCAACTTCCTTCTCTCCCCTAGTACATATTTTGGTGTCAGAAATAAGAGAAAGGAATCATAAAATATGATGCATTTTGACTGAGAAAGTGAGAAAAGTATTGCAATTTTTTAGGCCTTGGCTTGAGGACCTTGGCCTAAAGGAGCCTTTCTTTCTGTTTGCCCAGCAGAGCTGGTGAGATTGGGCCAGAATTCCATTGTCATTACACATCTAAAACAAAATGTCAGCCAGATCCCGTCTGCATCTATTTATTACTAGTGATGTCAAAAGGACAACAAAAGTAGACTCTGTTGTAGATCTTGGCTGCAAGCACCTTGTAGCCATCAGTAGCAAACTGCAACTCAACCTCCCCACAGTTCATGTGGAGGAATCTTTTCATCTCCCTTCCTTCCCTTGGCATTTACAAATTGTCATCATGGTCATCTATTTATGGCCATCCACACTACTGAAAAGTCCCACCATCACTTCAGAAGAAATTCCCATTGCTTAGTGACCCATGGGATCCTGGACTAATTGAGGTGTGGCTCTGCTTTTGATCTAATCATTTCCATAATACAATTCATTAAAACATTTATTCACACTGGGAGGTTCTGTGTCATTGTTTTTTAAGTAAACAGTAGGCCTTATAATTTCTCTCTGATATCACGTCTATCTTGGGTACCATAGAAAAATATTACTTGACCCAGAAAAATAGCTTTCCTGAATAACAAACCAGCCTCAGACATGGCTCATCACTCTTACATCTTTTTGTGCAGTCTGATGCATCCACTTTGGCTTTCTAAGGCTAAATGGATTTCCCCAAGTAGGAACAGATGCCTTCACCAACTTCCTTCCCACAGATATTCCCAACCAACTAAGCTAGAAAGCCAGCTGAGTAGTTCAGCTGAGGCAGACAGGAGGTAATCATCTTGCTTGGGTTTCTGATAATGTCTTGTGCTCTATTTCTAGTACTACACGGAGGAGACAGTTTATGAAGAGGTGCCAGGAGAGGTAAGGTCAAGCCTACCCCTGCACAGACTTATTCTCATTGAAGCAGGAAGAGGCTTCTCCCTCAGACTTCCAGGGCCATAAAGATGGCTCTCAGGGAGATCACCTACCTTGTTGTGCCCAGAAACGGGTGGTAAAATTCAATCATTACCTGTGTGATAGGTTATTTCATTTTTTAAAAATTAACTTTCCCAAAATGTCAGGGAATGCTTTATCCTATGGCTTAAGTTTTTAAAATTTAATTGTTGCTGATTACGATATCAGTTGTCCTCATCACTCTCTAACTGCACCAAGTGGGATGAAGCTGAATTTGTGATTGATAAAGGGATCAGTTGTTTCATTGTACAGAATTATAACTCAGAGAATGCCATCTCTACATCAAAGGTGGTCCTTCCAAGAACGATCTTTATCCCCAATGATGCAGTGAAATGCTCATTCAGATTTTAGCACATTCTCCTAAATTCTCATAGATATTTCAAGTTGGAATTTTCTTTGCTTTCCAAGGTGAAATACCTCTCATACTTCATTTTCTGCATGGACTTGTTTTCCTTTGAGCATGACAAGTAGTAGTATGGCTGGTTAATCCTGAAGCCTGCTTAGAGAGCTTGTGACTGCATAAAAATGAACATCTGGAGATGTTGTAAATTGTAATGGGCAAAAGAAGACCAATTAGAAGTGATCTGACCACACTAGGGGGATTGTTACAGAGGCATGATTTCCTTATTCAGCTTTGTTATTTTTTAATGTGTTGCTAGAACTTTTCCTTTGGGGAAAATATTTGCTGTGAAGGAAATGATACTATGAGATGGATTGAAGACCTGGTTGCTCATCTTCTTTTCTTACACATAGTATTTTTAACCTTGGACTGGATTCAAACTGAGTTGATTCCAGTTGTAAGGAATAGTAATTTCCCACATACTACATAGACAGTGCTGTTGTGAGGATAATTACCCCATTATGTTGTCACCGTTATTCTTGTCCACCTAAGCATTTATTAGTGTAAAAGACACTCCAATTCACATCGGCTGACTAAGCCAAGAAAATGGTAATCACTTCCTATTGGTGTGATTTGTTATTTTAGATTTCATTCTTTGTATCAGACTATAGAGAATACCTAACTACCTGCAGAAAATGCAATGGATTTTTTTCTTATTTACTTAAAAGTTAATTTTGAGACTGGGAATGTGTGGCTTAGTGGTAGAGTGCTTGTGTAGCATGCATGAAGCCCTGGGTTCGATTCCTCAGGACCACATAAAGCGAAAAAGCCAGTGGCGCTGTGGCTCAAGTGGTAGAATGCTAGCCTTGAGCCAAAGAAGCTCAGAGACAATGCCCAGGTCCTGAGTTCAAGCCCTAGCACTGGGGAAAAAAGAGTTAATATTGAAGTCCAGGTTTTGACCTTCATTGGCTTTAAAATTTGTTCCCCAATCTCATTTACTTTTGCTTTACAAGGTTTTCAAATGTTCAAGAATAGGTTAATTCTGATTTTTATATTGCCTTGAAGTCCTTGAGTATTTTTATGTAAATGAAATGGGCAGGCAAGTCATGATTGGCATTCAGATTCAGGTAATGTAATGTGCCTTCACCTGGATGTAGTGTATTTTAGACATGGAGAAAAAGAATACCAGGAATGTAAATCTGACTTGCAGGTAGAGTAATAGTATACCAAGATGGTGAACAGTCATTACTTTCATAACATTGTTGAACTGCATGTCAAAATTTCAGACAATAACAGAAGTCTATGAAACTACAACCACAAGGACAATATCTGACTATGACCAATCAGAAACTTCCAAACCAGCACTGCCACCGCCAGAACCAGCAAAGCCAACGGAGAGGAAGAAAATCATCCGGAAGAAAGTGGATTCTTCAAAGTTCATGACTCCTTACATTCAACATAGTCAGAAAATGCAGGATCTTTTTAGCTCAGTAAGTTTCACACATCTACTGAACTGGGTTCTATTATTGAAAAGCTAGAGATCTTGACTGACTCTGTTTTAGATGCTAACTGGTTGGGTTTTTTTTTTTTGTATGAAACAAACTCTTCTTTTGCTGATACTTAAGCTCTTGTGACTCATGAATTTTCATTTGCACCATCATACACCAAGGAAAACACAGACCCTGTTCCTGTGGAGTAAGCAGAATAAGCACAAGGCCAACTCGAAAACACTGCTGGTATTCCATCAAGATTAACCAGTCTAGATGAACAAAATCACAAATGTGGATTTAATTGGGGGTAGTTTAGAGTTCAAATATGTTATTTCACTTGTATGTCTGAATGGGATTGCCTTTTAAAATGGTAAGTAGTAGTATCTGAGAAAGTCTTTAAGAGTTATATAGTGAAGAGAAGCTTGTAGTTTAGAAACCTCAAGGTCAGACTAAACTTCTTTGAAACTGAGATCAGAGCATTTGACACTACCTGAGAATCATGCTTTTTAGCCATTGCTGCACTCTGGAGTGTTCTGCAGGGTTGAAAACTATGGAGGCTCAAACCATTCTGCCATTGTAATTTTATTGGCTTATGTCTTAGGAGTGTGTAAAAGGTTTTTGTTTTTTTTAAGCTGCCCAGATATTTGATGGTCTCTGGTTCTTAAATTCCATGTAGAGTGCTATAATTGTACTAATTGACAGCAGTTTTAGACCCATTTCAGTGAATATAATTTTTTTAATTTTTCTTGATTTTTTTAAAAGTTTTTCTTACAAGGTAACTTGATAACATGTCTTCTAGGGACTTGAAGACAGGAAATGTAGCTCAGAGAATATTGGATTATGCAGGATCAAAAAGTTAATGTGAAACATGTCCTGTTGTGGTTGGCCAATAAATATCACTTTCAGTTAAGTATTAACTGCTAGAAATTAGTAAATTTCTGCTTCAGAACAGTAAACAATCTAACACTTAGTTTTCTAACTGAGATGTTCTTGCCTCCTTCATCACTGCACTATTCAGCAAAGATAGAACATTATTTTGTTAATTTATTGCCACAAATCTCATTAATTCAAACACTGTGAACCTAGAATTTTTTTTATATTCTAAATAGTGTTGTCAAAGTTCTATAAAAATTTGAAGTCATTAGTCATGAAATCAATAATACAATTTTGGTTGTTGTCTATCCCACTCAAGAATGCTCTTTGAAGCCTTGATAGTAACAAATTATGAACACTATCATTAAGGCAAGAACTTGCTCTGTATACTTAGCAGAAATAATAAAATTACTTTCCTTTACAAAATATTCCATAATTCAGTCTTTCTATTAATTCAGCTAGCGTCTCAGCAGCATTTGAGGCTTAGCTGCAACTTCTGAATTGAATATTTTTACATTGTATTAGCAATCAAATCTTTTCAGACTTAACTCATTTTCTATATTTACTTTCTAAAATAATTGTGGCTCGAGCTTTTTATATGTGCATTAAAACAAAAGAAATTGAGATAATCATTTTAGGGCTCTTCCAAGACAGTTTTCTATAACAACTTTCTGCTATCTGCAGGATAAGAAGGGCAATTAACAAATCTATTTTAGTTTTTTGAAAGAATATGGGATAAAATAAAAGCTAGTCATTATTAGAGCTTGGAAAACTTCAAAAAAAAAACCAGGAAGAGTGTGTTGCCTATAGTTTCTGCTGCTGTCTTTTAAGGCTAATGTCTGATTTTCTTTTTTTAGAATAAATACAAGGAGAACTATGAGAAAGCAAAGGGACAGCCATATGCCAGCACAACCGATACTCCAGAACTTCGCCGAATCAAGAAAGTACAAGATCAGCTCAGTGAGGTGGGCATTCTTAAACAAAGGAGAGAAACACTTCAAAACTGTGCCTTACACCGGAGATTGAAGAACCTAAATATGTGCAGAAGGAATAAGAATTTGAATTACTCTAAGCGAGTCTAGGTATCTAAAGAACATATTGGCCAGAGTATGTTGCTGAAAATAGGAACTCAAAGAGAATTCTAGAAGCTTGGCCTACCAATTCACGTAAGAGGACACTAGGAGATAGAAATTCCTTCTCACTATGGTCCTCCATGCTGGAACACAGTGAGAGCAAAACGTTGCAGGCTGGAAATTCAGAGAAGCAGCCAAATGCAGGTGTTCTATGGATCACTGAAGATGAAACTTTACTTTGTGTTGTAGACTTAGAGTGCCTGGGTGAATGTTCTTTGTTTATAAGACATTATTTAGTATAGTTCATGCTTTGCATGAACTCTAATTGTGCATTATTTCTGCAGGTTAAGTATCGAATGGATGGTGATGTTGCTAAAACTATCTGTCACGTGGATGAAAAAGCAAAAGACATTGAACATGCAAAGAAAGTGTCGCAGCAAGTCAGTAAGGTAAGGCCATGTGATGTGTGGCTGGGCTATTCAACAGCATGTGCATTAACTCAGGACATAGATCCTGATCCTTCTTACCAGTCCCCTGGGGAAGTATGAATTGAATGCCCACATACATGATTGAAGTGGCTCATAGGAGCTTCAGGAGGATTGAAGATTCCAAGACATCCTCAAAGAAGCAGTTGTGATTCTGCTCTGGGGGTTTGCTGCACAGGATGCAGTCTCAGTGTTGCTGGAATCTTTTTTTTTTGTCACACTAAGGCTTGAACTCAGGGCCTTGTGCTTGCTAGGCCAGCACTCTACCACTTGAGCCATTCCCTGAGCCCAGCTTGATTTGAATTGAGAATAATCTTGCTAACTTGCTCACCACAATCCTCTTATCTCTGCTTGCTGAGTAGCAAGGATTAAAGGTGTACACCAATACTTGTTCAGTATTGGAGCTCCACCTTAGGGCTTTATGCTTTTACTTATCTTCTCAAGAATTTGGGAGCCTAAATTTTTTCCCAATTTTAAATATGAACAGCTAAGTTTAAAATTCTAGAATTCTATGCAAATTAGGAGAAACTTGCTTCCAGCTAAATGGACCAATGATCAATTGTTTGCCCAATTTGAAAGGAATCTGTGGACAATCAGAATCACAAGCATTTTTTTAATTAAAAATTTTCAAGCAAAACTTTACTAATGCAAAGGAAGTGTATTAATATGGTTGATGTATTTCTGGTAACACATCAGCTGCCTTTGCGTGAGAACACCTATATCACTGTTCTCTAAATCTTCATGGACTTGGTGAGCTTGTAAGGCACAGGTCTTCTGTTTTTTCTGTTTAGGTTTTATACAAGCAAAACTGGGAAGACACCAAGGATAAGTACCTGCTTCCCCCTGATGCCCCTGAACTTGTCCAAGCCATTAAGAACACAGCCATGTTCAGCAAGGTAAGGAGCCTCTGCCCCATGGCTACGTCTAGTTTTCTGTCATTCCACCATTGACAGCAAACAATTGACATTTGATATAGTTCCTGATCTTGTTTGTGAGTGCCTTGGAGAGATGAGGGAGTATAGGGCTGGAGCTTGGCAAAGAAGAGTTCATGCTTCACTTAAAGAGGGTGGCAGAGCTGAGCTACCAGGTAAGAGATCAACAAAGTAGTATTTTGTATTTTTGTGTAGACCTTGTACTACACTATGGGTATTCTTTGCTCTCACTCTTATTAGAACTGTGAGTGTGTGTGTGTGTGTGTGTGTGTGTGTGTGTGTGACAGAAACTGTGGAAAATTTATCCTTGGCTCCTTATACTTGTGTTAGCACTTGTTGCAAGAGAGCTATGAAGAGATAAAGGCAAATATAACTGCCCCAGTGATTTTAGGAGAATCAGGTCAATTGGAAAGGTGGGAAAGGGGGAAGTTATCTGTGAATTTCACTTTTGCTCTCACTCTGCCCTAGGGTCCCTTTGCTCTTGATGAATGAATTGTAAATTAGGTGTAGTATGAAGTGTAATCTTATTTTCTCATGGCATTTCACTGTTTTCTGATTTAGAAATTGTACACTGAAGACTGGGAAGCAGACAAAAGTTTGTTTTACCCATATAACGACAGCCCAGAACTGAGGAGAGTTGCTCAGGCACAGAAAGCTCTCAGCGATGTAAGTGAAAGGTCATTGGCATCATGGGAATGTGAATAATATTTGTCCAGATGTTCATTGCAACACTTGTTTTTAAAAGACTAAGTTGCCATTTTTGTAAAAGAGTACCTTCAGAATAATAATGAATGATATCTCCTTTAACTTAGCTGTAAATTATGCTTTTTAGTAGGTAAGATTTAGCTCAATGGCTGAGGTTGCGTAGGTAGTGGCAAAGCCCAGATTTGTGGTTCCCCAAGCCAATTTCACTCCCATTAGAAGCACCTGTCATCCCCCTTGCCTCTTGTCTCTGCTTGGAGTTGTTCTGTGACAATGAAGTGGCAAGAAAAAGAATACCTATTGGGGGTTTAGACACCTTTGCAAATTTCATATTAAGTAACTAGTGTCAGCGAAGACTTTGCTCTGCTGACCTAATCACTGAGTCTGAATTACAGGGTGTCCGTGTTGGTTGCATGGTACGTGACTGGAATACTTACTTACACATCTTCACATAGTTACCCCTCAAAAAGCTCTTGACAGTGGTATGCATAGAGAATATTTCTCAGACAGTAAAAAATTGACTTGTTGGAATTTTAATGTCCAAGACCTTGAAAATGGTGCATCACACAAACTAAAAAGGCCTAAGATCTTCAGCTTTGAGGTCAGCTGCAGTACAGAGCTCCACTTAGGCTTTGAACTTGCCCTCTTTTGTTTTTAAACACTGAATTTTCCAGAAGCCCTATTGAAAATCCAAGGCCATTGCTCTAGTTTTTAGCAGAGCAGGGAGTATGTTGTAAAAACACATGCTATAGATTCAGTTGTAAACTAGATCTCAAAAAGCTTTCACATTCAATATAGACTTAATGAGGCAATTAGGACATTGAGATTTACTTCCAATGGGCCCCAATGTTTGCCCTGAACGAAGTTATACATATTCATTTGATGGGCTCCAACTTTTGAGGTCTGATTTTTGTTGCCTCTTACCTGAACATCTAGTGAACACATTTTCTATCCTACTTTTCACATGATTGGTTAAAGATTAGGTCATGTAAGCTGTGGACCTGTGGTTCTTGCCCCTACTCCTAACTACTTTGACTGTGATATGAAAATTGCAATTTAAAGTCAGCTCAGGCAGAAAAGTCTGTGAGATTCTCAATTAATTTATTTATTCTTAATTAATTTGCTGGCTAATTCTACCTAACCCGCAAAAAACTGGAAATTGAAGTGTGATTCAAGTGGTAGAGCCCCAGCCTTGAGTGAAAAATTCAAGTGAGAGTGTGAAGTCCTGAGATCAAGCCCCAGGACCAGCACAAATATATATATATATCCTGTGTGTCAGATAAACTCTTATCCTTCCATGAGACAAGTAAAGAAATAAAGCTAATTTAAACAGATTTTGAAATTACCTAGTACCTAGTACGAATGTTATTATGTGGATAATTCTTCAGTGTGTGATTCTAAGATGAGCTTTTTGGTTCTATATCTCATAAAAGCATAGTACTGTTATGAGGCCTTTATCAAGTGATCAATATCTATTGATTGAAAGTCAATCAATTTGCACAGCTGATGCTATGCAAAACAAAAGAAATGTACGTATCACCCAATGTGGAAGAAATAACTGTATTGTAAAGCTCATAGAACTCATAAATGTTATAGACCATGAAAAAAAAGTCTTTATGAGTCTATAGTGTACTGCCCACACCAAGGATCTGAATTTGCTAGTAATGGTGCTAAATAAAAGCTGTAAGTAAAGTAAAAACAAAACAAAAAAAAAAAAACAAAAAGAAAGTCAATTATGCCTGTATAGCTGGCAGAATAAAAAAATAATACAAGAAATTTCCATCTTTTCCCCATGAGAATGTACAATCACACTGACAAGATTAAAGTCTACAACAGATAAGAAAAAAATGTAAAAGCAAAACAAAACACAGCATCTTTATATTTGCCATGAGAAACACGTGTGGTGGTAATTCGAGAAGTTGTAAGAGGTGGTGATACAAGGGGAGAGTAGTGCTGAAGAAGAGGAACAAATGAAATAAAATATGTGGGTGGCTTATCTGAAGGGCCCTTGTGAGATGACTGGCATTCATACCTTAAAAATCAGACAAAATAGTTTTGGCACAATAAGATAAGAGGCATCATGAGATATAGTACTGGAGAGGGATAAAAGTAGAATCTGGAGAAATTCTGCTAGACTGTAGAATTGAGACTAATGAGCATTTGTAGATGTCCATTTTAATGATACCGCTAAATCAGAGCAATAATGATGACGAACGAAACTCTAAGGCAATAAGTACTAATAAGTGCATTAAGGACATTGGATATTGGAAAAAATCAGTTGTAACTGAGTTTATGGCATACCCATGCGGGCTGGATGAGCTGGGACACGTCTGGTAAAATGCATTAGTGGAGAGAGACACATAGACTTGAAATAATGGCAGGATTTTTTAGATCAAAGCATCCTGGGGATAATTAGAACTATGGCACCATTGCAGGTAAGGACAAGGATTTAATAACAGTGGTAATAGCTACAGATGTGAAACGGATAAGAAAGGCACAACAGTATGTGGCCAAGGACAGAGTAGTAGAGGACACTCACACATTAGAATATCTGGAAAGGAACCAACACAAGGATAAAGGAATGAACTGAAAAGTTGAAAGGGATCCAGGAAGTGCTATGTAAGCCTAGGGAGAGATGTCCAAAGAGACACTTAATCTCCCAGTATCTCTGTTTAACTATAAAACAGAGATGAAGGATTATCTCAGTGCCACTCTCATGTGATGAAGTTGAACTTTAAAATTGTAAAGTTGACAATGTTTTTTCAGATATCAAAATAGAAGCAAAAGGAAGAAGACACAACAATGTGTCTTCCTCAGGAAGACTTGGGTGTAGCTTTAATTTTTATTCTAGTCCAGATGTATTAAATATCAGATTGCAAGCATGGCTATTAATACTATTGCCAGCACCATGAACTTTTATAATTGTTGGGAACAGACTCTTAAGCAACCTGTTGTTCATAGACCATCCCACCGGGCAGGCCCGTAGCTTCCTAGCTAAGGGCTTGAATTTATAGGCTCCCTCTCTCTGTCTTCTACCTTCTTCCAGTGTCCCTCTGGGCTCCATTTATCATGTTTTTCTTAGGAAAAACATACTTTGCAAATACCAGGACAATCTCAGAGCTGATCTGGAGTACAGAATTCTAACTAGACAGAATTCTGAGCATGGCTCCTGAAAATGTCAGACTTCTGGATCAGATTTCTCTGAAACTTCTTGACAGGATGTCATACTTAATAAGCATTTCTCTTTTTTTGAATGTTTCTTTCTCCCCAAGGACTTAGCCAATCATGAAAAATTTCAATTGTTCCTACACTTAAAGTCTTAACTTAAAAAATTAGGCAGTGAAATTTATGTGTATTTAAAACTACCTTTCATAGTTGATTTCATGTTCAGAAAAGCTTTTGTTACAGGCACTAGATTGATATTATTAAAATAAGAGAAAGACTTGGTGAAAGTATAAGATGATTAGGACCTTGGAATGATCTAACTCATTCATATATATGACTTATTTTACATATATATATATATATATATATATATGTACATACACTACTATGTGGAAGGAAAAGTAATTGGTAGGAGTCTCACTGTTATGTGATGAGAGTTAGAAGGATAACCCTACTGTTCAGACTTCCTTCACAACCTACATGTGTCTTACACACATACAGAAATCAGTCATTGACCCCCTCCCTTGGTCAGGCACAGCGGGCCACATAGATTCCTAATGGGAGGCCATTCCTATGTTCATGGTCTATGGAGAGACAGAACTGTAAACCACCCAGATGATCACTGTCATCTGAGGACCTCCTTACAGGAGACAAGGGCCATATTGATTGAGATCTCAAGAGAAATTTGACCCAAGGAGGGATCAGGAGAGAAAGCCATGTTGTTCTGAGATGTGGGAAAGGGGATAAAGTTTGGGACACATGGGAGAAGGAAAAGTTCAGATGTTCCCAAGAGAAGGAACAGCATAGATGATGTTCTGAGCAAGTGAAGGGTATCTGTGTCTGAGGATCTATGAACAGTTTTTCCACTGGGTATGTAGTTTAGGAGTAGAACATTTGCCTAGCACAAGCAAGGTGGGTTTGATCCCTAGCACATGAAAGGAAAAAAAATTATGAATAATCTCTGAGTTGTTTTTCATTATGGAAGGCTGGGACTAAGAATAGTAGAAGAAAAACCCAGAAGAGCCAGTAAGGATGAAAGGAGGACAAGGGAAAGCCTAGGATTATTCATGGTACCATACTTATATAAGACAATAGAGCCTTTTGCAGGGAGGAAATTAAGAGTGAGATTGCAATTGGATCTGTGAGAGAGAAAAAAGGAAGGACTGTTGGGCTAGATAACAAGGGCAGCTGGAAGGAGTGGTCTGGAGTGCCCTGTGACAGATGCTTCTCCTCAGAAGCAGGGTAGGGGGTCAAGAGACAGGGATGTCTTAGAGAAATGTAAGTATACAGTTACTCTTTCATCTCTAACAGAGTAAAAGAGAACTGAGAGCAACATGGAATTGATTAGGAACCTAAAGACAGTGTTGGAATTTTAGACCAGCCTCTAGGAGAATGGATTGACTAGAAACATATCATGGGATGTTCATAAAGTTCACAGGACTCACAAGTGGATAGACACATGGATTTCAAGTTAATTGCTTGGATTCAAAGGCTCCTTCCCTTCTACCTTCTTCTGGAATCATTCTCTACTTATGTCATTATTGTCCTACTCATAGATTTGTGTGGTTTTCTTTTGTAGCCCTCAGCATAAGAAAGAAATATGTAAGTATGTAAGAAGTATGAAATTGAGGTTACCTAAAATGGAAGGTTTTGTGTGGATGTGAAGAAAAGAGAAGAGGTTGAGAGCTAGGATGCTGGTTAAAGAAAAATATTGCAATACCCAGTCATAGAGAGAAAGCAAATGGAAGAACAGATCTAGAGCCCAGGCTACTAGAGAGAAGAGAAGTCCCAAAGAGCTAGCAATAGCTGGTAATAATGACATTAAGGGTATGTAATATGGAAGAGGACAGATTATGATACCTTGGTGCCCTAAAATTGAAGACTTCCTACAAAGATGAAAGCATTGTCCTTTTTCTAAAATGCCAACCATTGGAACATGAAAAATGGTATAATTTTATATGGCTCATAAGTATCCCTGTGATTTATTTTGTCAGATTGCCTACAAAAAAGGTCACACTGAACAGCAAACTCAATTCACATCTCTGCCAGATCCTCCGGACATAGTATTTGCCAAAAAAGTAACCGGTCAAGTGAGCAAGGTAAGTAAACAGAGCTGGACGCTATCTCTTTTGAAAACTCTGCTTCAAAATTTCCACCATTAAAGAAATAAATGAACACCCCAACACAACATCCAAACAGGAAGAGTAATGTTGCCTATGATTCCAAAACTTCACAGCAAAAGCAGTAGATCCACTAATAGGGTAAACTATGTTAATGAATGTGTGGCTAGCTTGATGACTGGCATTTTTAGATGTCAGAGGTACCTTTTGGACACAGCCTATGTCTTAATGTCCCTTGACATTTTTAACTTCTGGGAGTGATATTCAAAGAATAGCTGAGTTAACCACACCCTTCCATGGAAGATCCTGTCTAATTCAGTGGGAAGGCAGCATACCATTGTATGTTCAAATGTGAACAAATGAGAATGTGTGAGTGGACATAGCTTTGTTATAGCAATGGGCAGTGCTTCATAACTGTTAAGGCCCAAACAAGTAGCTTAGCCTGCTTATATTTAGGCTGATAAATAAGCTCTGAGGAATGCAACTCCGACAAGGAATGCAGAGAGACAAATGGTCAACTGATGTTGCCTAGTTTAAATCCTGTTTTAAACTGGTCCAAATCAGGCCACTTTCTCCTGGGATTCTGCTGCTTTTAAGTGTTTTTTATGGGAAGGGCAGTATTTCTTTTGTAGATGAGAAAGAAGAAAAAATAGGAAGGATAAAATTTATTCAGTGATATTTTTAGTGTCTGTGTAGATTACTTAACTGTACAGCCAGAGACTATTTGAATAAAGACTGTAGTAAGTAGAGTAAAATTTCACTAACAGGAAACTGACATTTTCCCCAGGGCTAAGCAGAAATTATCTTGAGACTTTGCATAAAGACTTGGCCTACTGGATGTGTTAATACTGAAAATAAGATTGGGAGAGGATTATAGTTTTGGATGCATAGTTGTTTTTAAACAGTCATTTAGAAATAAATCTGTTTTTAATTTTTATTTAAAAGATACTTAAAAAGGATATCTTACTAAGAAAACATTCTTTTACCTTATTTGATTATGAAATGTGGGTAATAGATTTTATACAAACCACTTTCAAACTTTTCTATAGTCTTTTCCCAATAATCTAGGCTTGTTAATTGGATGAGAGTCATGCTTTTCAATATGATAGCCACTAGACAAATAGGACTATTAAACATTTGAAATGTGATGGATAAAAACTTGGGCCTCTATGAGTGAACACATACACTGAGGGAGGCTTAAACAATTTGTTTCTCACAGTTCTGGAGGTTAAAATCCAGGATCTAGTGTTTTGTTCCTGTTGAGAACCTCCTTGCTGGCCTGTGTCCTCCCTTGGTGGAGACAGAATGAACTCTAGTCTCACTCTCTCGTGACAAGAATACCAATCTTTTCATGGTGAACAGACCCTTACCACCCACCTGAACCTGATTACTTCCCAAAGATTACACCTCCAAATCCCATCACTTTGGGAAATTTAAAGTTTCAACATATAAATCTGGGGAAAACACAAACATTGCATGAGTATTGAACATTGTATAGACACTGGATCTTGAGCACTTACCATGAAAAAAAAAGACTATGACATTATAGCTCATTGATTATTTTTTATGGTTAACTACATGTTGGAATGATTATACTCTGAATTTACTGGGTTCAGTAAGATGGATTATTAAAATTAATTTCCCACCTGTTTCTTTTTTTTACATTAAAAAATATGGGCACTAGAACAGGCAACATTTTTATTGGACTGGTAACACAGCATTGGCTTTGAAAGTATTGCCAGACTTGGGTTTGTCCTTGAAAGCACTGCCCTTGTAGAATAACAATATGAGCTAAAGGGAGAGCAGCTGTGGATAAAGGTTTGTAGATTTGCCCACAGTGATGTAATTTATTCTAGTATTTCCAAGATTACCGTGTTCTTAGGAGCTATTGTGTATACAAAACAATAGTCACGTAGAGGACATCTGCATGTGCTTGGTGGCAGTTCATCTAACAAGCCACCTACAGAGAGAAAGAGGGCTGCCAAGGGTGACTTATCTGTGGGGTTTTCTCCCTGTCTCTCTACCATCTTCTCTACCATCAAGCTACTTGGACCCATTTCAGTGTCATCATATTTTCTTTTCCTAAAAGAAAAAAAAATCTCCCTTACTGACTCACTCTTATGACTTATACTTTTGGCATTTCCTTACCTAGTTGGGATGTCCAGATCTACCTTTTGTCTGAGGGATTCCATCAATAAAGATCAGACACCTGCAATGGTTACATTGATGTAGCATTCTTTTTACCAGTCTTCCTTACTATGCTTTTCAGAATAATTTTTTGCCTTTGTCACTGGCCAAAGTTAGGAGCTTCATTCTAGCATCATCTCCTGGCTAAGGTGCAATTATGTAGCTTTAATATAAGTGGAAAAGCAGAGTTGTTCACATCAGAAGCATCCCAAGTAAGGTGCTAGCTAAAAGCAGAATTTTGAATGCAACAATGGGAAGTCCTTTTAGTTTCTCTGAGTCTGTCTTTCCTCTTCAGATTCACAATAGGAGCAATATACAATTTCAGGTTGGAATTTCCAGTTAATACCCCATTGGAATCTGGAATGTTCTAAAGGAAACACATATTTTTTTTCTTTTTTATATTTTATTTTACTGTTAAGATGCTATATAGAGGGTTTTTTTTGTCAGTTGTTTAGCCTGCACTCTGGGCCTGGGCGCTGTCCCCCAGCTCTTCAGCTCAAGGCTAGCACTCTACCACTAGAGCCACAGCACTACTTCCAGCTTTTTCTGCTTATGAGGAATCGAACCCAGGGCCTCATGCATTTGAGGAAAGCACTCTAGCACTGAGCCACCTCCCAGCCTCAAAGCTCCCATTTTTTGAAACAGCAAGAACTCTTCTATCACAGAGAATTAGAGTCCCATTGGTTGCTCCAGAAGAGGAGGACAACCCTGTGCTTACTGTGGCCATTATAAACACCAGATAGGACCCTTTCTGTCAACTCTAATAGGATATCTTTTCTATGATTAGGGTCACAGAAAAGGGGAGGTGTGATTAGTTGGCTTTATATTCCTTTCTGTTTATCTACCACCTAAACTATAGATGCAGTTGTGGAAAGTAGAAAATGAAGCCACACGTTCATGTAAGTCATCAGGGGCCTAATTTGAAACCCAGTGGATGTACCCTTAGCTGCCTAGTCTCCATCTTAGTTGAATCTTTAAAAAAAAAAAACCAGACATCTATCACTGTAAGGATTAGTCTCTTCAATTTGTTTTTTTTGTAGACAAACCTACATGTGCAATGCTGTTTCTCAGTAATACCCTAGGGTTTGGGGCTTGTTGAGAGCATTGGGTGCTACTTTTGTTATTGTTGTTGTTGTTGTCGGTCTGAATTCTGAATTCTGGGCCTGGGCGCTGTCCCTCAGCTCTTCAGCTCAAGGCTAGCGCTCTACCACTTGAGCCACAGCACCACTTCTGGCCTTTTCTGCTTATGTGGTGCTGAGGAATCGAACCCAGGGCTTCATGCATGCAAGGCAAGCGCTCTACCACTGAGCCACCTTCCCAGCCTTAGGTGCTGTGTTTACATGCCCAAATTTTATTTCTTAGCTTTGGGATGCATCAGGAATTTTATTCCTTTCACAGAAAACTGGGGGAAGGACAGTATCCAACACACACACACATACACACACACACACACACACACGCGCACACACACACGCACACACACACACACACACACACAGATTAAGAGACTAACCTTCCAGGTGCCTGAGATTTATGCTTGTAATCCTAGCTACTCAGGAGGCTAAAATCTGAGGATTCAAAGCAGCCCCAGGAAGGCAACTTGATGAGATTCTTACCTCCAATTAGCCACCAGAAAATCAGAAGTGGAAATGGTGTAGTAGAGTGCTAGGCTTGAGTGAAAAATTCAGGGATAGTGCTCAGGCCTTGAGTTCAAAAATGAGATCTAGATCTTAACCTGAGCTGTGCGTATGTAAGAATTTCAGACATATTTGTTGTTTTGAGACAGGATCCTACTGTGTATTACAGGCTGGCCTTTATCCTTCTGTCTCAGACTCCTGAGTCTTGGGATTATAGATGTGTACTAACATGGCTGGCTGTGACTTCTGAGGTGTTAAAGTATTTATGGGCACTTTATAGCCTTTTCAGATTCACAAATAGATTTATTTGCCACAAAGATCAGAAACACTTCTGCAGGCAGTCTTAACAAATTCAAAAATCAATTCTATTGACTTGATTTTTTATTGTTATTGTGGAGTTGATATACAGAGGTTTATAGTTACATGAATTAGGTAATGAGTAATGAGTACAATTCTTTTTGAACCATGTCTCCCCTTCCATTGCTCTCTCCCAGTTTTTCTCTCCCATCCCTACTCACAAGATATCTAGTTAGGGGCTGGGAAGGTGGCTCAGTGGTAGAGTGCTTGCCTTGCATGCATGAGGCCCTGGGTTTGATTCCTCAGCACCACATAAGCAGAAAAAGCTGAAAGTGGCGCTGTGGCTCAAGTGGTAGAATGCTAGCCTTGAGCTGAAGGGCTGAGGGACAGCGCCTAGGCCCAGAGTTCAGACCCCACAGCCAAAAAAAAAAAAACCAAAAAAAAGATTTCTAGTTAGTTTTCCACATAGTGGTTAGTGAGTATCACTATTGTATTTGTTCCTCCTTGTTCCACCTTTTACATGCCCTCTCTGGCGCTCCTAAATGCAAACAAACTAACAGACAAGATAGAAGGAAAAGAAAACAAAAACAACAATGGCAACTAGAAATGTCTCATTTCTTTTTCTTGGAGTTCATTTCATAGAATATTTTATATGGTCATCTGCACATAACTGTTGAATTTTTTATTGGAGAAATTACTGCAGCAGAGAGTGGTAGGTAATTAGTTGACTCCATAATGCAGATTTTTGTTCTGTTTTTTGAAATTACAAGGTCTTGCTATGTAGCCCAGACTGGCCTTGAACTGTAATCCTCTTACGACTACCTCTTACCTGTATAATGGAGATGAGAATCTCAACAAAGATTTCCAATAAGAAATTCTCATTCTCTCTTCTTCTTTTTTTTCCTTCTGCCCCTTCCCCCCTCTCATAGGTTTCTCTCCAGAGTTCCTCTGTTATTATAACAATAGCTGTCATCATCACAGTATCATGATGGACATTTGTTTAGCACAAGAGCTTACAAAACCCTATTAGTGGATAGCCCTAAGTCCATCTTCTCAATCTGCACAGTGAAGTGTGATAGAGGAATTTGAAACTTAGAGAGGCTAATTCATGTTTTTGGTAATCACAGTCTGGAGCTCAAAGTGTCTGAAGCCAGACCCAAAGTTCTAAATTGTGTAGCTACAGAAACCCCTTGCTATTAACTGGTATAGTTACATTTTGAGAAGAAAGCAAATAGTGTGTTTGAGAGAGAGCAATGATTTTCCTTTAAGTACAGGCTCTGCATATCACTCATACTTACTTCTACTTCTGATGAGGGTACACCAGGAAATAGCTTACTTTTTCTTGGACGGGTATGTGCAGGTATAGACATGCAAGCAACTTGAGATCCATTGGTTATGTCTAAAGCACAGTTCTATGAGCCACAGGTTAGAATTGCTTTAACCCAGCTTTAACACTGGCTTGTGGTCCCAGGTTTATTGTTGGCTAGGTTAATTCTGTTTAAGAACACTTAAGCAAAAGTAGTTCATCATTGTCTTGGTTTAGTATAGTTAAATGAAGATATATGTGGTAACTTCTTTGTACTGCATTCAGAGCTGGAGTAAGTATATAACAAAAAGAGGATACATGTCCTTTTAAAGAGCCACTAGCTTGTAATTCAGGTGGAATAGTGGTAGGGGCTAAGATAGGGTAGCTGTTCAACTTGAATATTGTATTCTTATCAAGTTTAGATATAATAAATGAATTCTTATTCTTGAGCCTGCAATCTGGCTTTTACATGTGTCGCTTTCTGGTTAGTTGGAGTTGGGTGCAGCTAAATTCATTTGGCATAGACTTCTAAGACTGATAGGCTTTATTATGTCAAAAATATAAATAGAGGGATATGGGCAACTTCTGAATGAGCTATAAACTTCCAAGCTCAGCAAAGAAGGGAAAGATAGCACTCTATTTCTCTCAGTTCCCTCACTCAGCATTTTTTTTGGTTAAATTGACATGATACTAGAAGATTTTTTATGAAGATATTTACTAAGTACCTATAAATCTTGGGCAAGATAACTTTAAAAAAGTGAAACATTGTTATGCTGTGTGTGTCTTAAATTGTCAACTCCTGGATTTTCCTAGTCTTTGGTTCATTTCTTTCTTTCTTTTATTTGTCTTCCCTAGCAAAAATACAAAGAAGACTATGAAAACAAAATCAAAGGCAAATGGAGTGAGACACCTTGCTTTGAAATTGCAACCGCCAGAATGAATGCTGATAACCTGAGCACAGTAAGTAGGAAGAGAGGACCACAGACCTAGGGTGGAAATCCTTTTTTATGATTTCTAGCCAATCGTTTCAATAATATCAGAACACAGATCATTTTGAACAAGTTCTATGATTTCACAGAACAGTGTGAGTCCCCTTTGATTGCAATGTTGTTGGTATGCATTAAAAGAGCTCTTTCTAATTTATTATTTGTCTGAGGAATCAAACTGAACATATATAAAAGCTGATTTAATTTCTTTCTACTGCAAAACAAATCTATTCCTTTTTCTTTCTCAAGTTCTCTTTTCTGGTTTTCAAGAACTCTTTTCTTTTAATGTCTTACAGAGGAAATATCAGGAAGATTTTGAGAACATAAAAGACCAGATATACTTCATGCAGACTGAAACACCTGAGTACAAAGTGAATAAACAAGCCGGGGTGGCAGCTAGCAAGGTAGGCAATTGTCTTGTGGATGTTGATACTTTTAATGAGTGAATTTCTTATATCTCTGGCTATTGGAGATTAGGTTCTTGGGGGTAATTATGAAGGTTGAGATCAATGGGTCTCAGACATTTGAGGAAGAATGGGATGAAAATAATAATATTTTGGAATTATCATAGGGCTACTCACTTTTTGGTAAGTATGAGCATTAACATCAAATTTCTATCTTCAGTATTTCATGGAATAAAAGGCCTTTTGTTATCCAGAAGTAGAAAAGCTATGATTTCCACTATCAATACTTTACCTAGCAAAGAACAATTGGCAGCTTTATATGAAGACACATACTAGCACATACACTTCTATCATTATTTTTCTTATTTTCCTGCTAAGTGGTGAAAATCTTGGTCATAAACAAGTCCATGAATATGCTCTTTAGGTAATAAGTTTTATTTATTGGTAGTCCAATAAAAATGGTTATTACATAACAACACTGAAGCCAAGCACACTTGAATCTGATCTTTGGTTTTACCAAAGCCTTGAATCTTTCAGAGGAGAGAAAGTAAGAAGACTACATAATGTGAAGATACAAGACAGTCACATTTTGGATCAGGAGGGTAGCAAGGCAGACAATCAGAAATAGTGTAAATATAGAGCCAACTCGATTTGCTGATGGATTGATTGGATGTGATATAGGGAAAGCATTCAATTTAAATAGTTAGATCAATGAGGTTGCTTTTAATCAAGCTAGGGAATCTTGTGGAAGAAGTAGGCAATTTTTAAAGGTACAAAACCAGAGTTTTCATTTCCCTGTTAGATTTAAGGTGCCTTTTAGACATCTAAGTAGAAATGTCAAGGTGTCAATGATTGTAGGAATCTGGCGTTCCTATTTATATTTGGAAAGGTTATATAGATTTGGGAGTTATTAGCATATGTGAAGTATTTAATGTCATAAGATTGGAGGGTACCAAGATAGGGAAGTGAATAGGAAACAGCAAAGTCTGAACCTTGATTGCTTCCACATGAATACATCAGCAAGATGAAGTAGGAGTTGAGTTGGTAGAAAGCAGTGTTTTGGGGAGCAAGTGCAGGGGAAGCCTGTGCAAATGTTTCTGGAATGATCTGCCAATGTATGGTCACTAGTATCTAAAAAGCAGTTCAGTTGAGTCTGCTTTGCAAGGACTCATGAGTGAAAGAAAAGAGAAAAATTCAATATAGGAAACATTCCCTCCTTCAAAGTATTTTTCCCCCAAAGAAAAGAAGAAACTAAGGTAGTACCTGAGGGAAAAGTTTTGAAGAGAAAATTACTAAGAGTGGAGACATGAAACACTATGTTTCTATGCTGAGGGGAAAATTCAATAGAAAGGGACATTGGTTGGTATTGGAGGAGGGATGTCATTAGGTATGTGGAAGGGAAGAGGTTTAATGCCTAAGAGGAGGGATGACTTTGTCACAAGCTCTGTAAGTTCATCTGTATAACAGAGAAAAAACCTGCATCCCAAATGCAGGTGGGGTATATTAGGAGTTGTCAGTTTCTTTTTTGGCCATTTCCATTTTCTCAGGGAAGTACAAAATTCTATAAGGTATAAAGGCTATTTTGCTTCCCAAGCTTGTAATATCCCCTGTAGAGTTAATACATCTGAGTTTACTTGTATATGTCCTACTTTTGGGTACTAATCTATAGTTATTAAAAGTAGATGATTTATCTAGAATCTGTCAAACTTCTAAGATTATATTGTCTGTATAAATGGCTTAGACTAGACTAGGGATAATGGTTTGCACAAGAATCTATTTTTTTCTTCTATTCCCTATTGACATGCCCTTCATAAGGGACCTTTAAACCTAACCCTTCCCCCAAATATACACAAGCATACTCTTACTGCTTCAGCCATATCTGGAGTTTAAAGTACAAGGTGGGAAGGGGTGATCATGTCTCCAAAAAGAAATGTAATCCTTACCTGACTTATGAAATGGTAAACCCTTTGTACATCACATTTGCAATAACAATTTTTTAAGTGCAAGGTGGAAAGGGTAGAGAGACAAGATGAGGTTGCCCCATTCATTCACACCCAGCTCCTTTCTCCTGTAGAATATTGGACATGCACATGCTAAACACACAGCTACAGGTGAGGTAGAAAAGTATAGACTGATGATACTTCTTTTCTTTGAAAATGTGTTGGAAGACAAGCAGTTGGAATTTAAAAGCTGAGTGAAAGTTTCAGAACAGCAGACATTTTGGGGCAGAGTGTGCTGTCATTATTCTGTATCTTTTTCTTTCCATTATTTATGTATCTTTCTTCCAGGGCAGGGACCATGTGATATTCTTTCCAGAGCCAGGCACATAATCAACTCCCTGTAGATATGTGTGAATGAATAAATAAGGAGAAAAAGTACCCTGGAAATTTATGCCATTTTTTGTTGCTGTTATGAGTTACTATGAGCACGTTGTTTATCAAATGTCAAGTTGTCATATTTCTAAACAGAAAATTGAAGAAAATTGATCTGTGGAACGATGTCATAATTACCACAGTGGAGAGGAGGATAAAAATAACCCCTTGAGTTGTTTATCATTATATTTTATCTTGTAGGTAAAATACAAAGAAGATTATGAAAAGAATAAAGGAAAAGCAGATTATAATGTACTTCCTGCTTCAGAGAACCCACTGCTCAGGCAGCTGAAGGCGGCAGGAAATGTCCTAAGTGATGTAAGTATATTCTTTTCAAAAATTACTTGTAAACCTTAGCAGTAAGAGAGATGGCATTTTTCTCTTTCTACAGTAATGGCATTCATACAAAACTTTGCAAATACTTGAAGGCTATGGAGTAGCTGTTGCACCAGAACTAGCTAACTGTAGAGGGCTGAGTGCCTCTGAGTATGATGTGTGTCCATTTTTGCAATCCTGGAAATTCAATTCAAAGAGCAGAGAAGTCTTCATCTGTTTAGAAGCTCTGGGGATCTGGACCAATGAGCACACTGAAAATGTGCTGTGATTTTGACCAGGCAGGAAAAACATTCAAATACAAATCTTGGGCTTAAGTACAAAACTTAAAAGAAGGTCTTTACTATCTCTGTACTTTTTTTTTTTTTTACTATGGAGTTATTAAGAGACTCACTAAAGCCATTAGATGTGAACTAGATTAGATAAGCCTCAGTCTGGCTATAAATGACTAATGGCCCAAGACCAATTTGTCCATATATATATAGACAAATTGTGCATATGTGCATATAGGTGTACATATATACAACTTGTGTGTGCATGAATACACATATACACACATATGTATGTTTATATTATGTGTGTCATCTACACATACATACATACAACATAATCACTGGAGAATTTTCCTTATTGTTAGAGTACATTAAATTTTGTCAGTATTTAAGAATTTTATGTAGCTTTCTGAGTAGGCTAGTTATCTGTTCCATACTCTTGATTTAGGTCCACATTGTAGGAAATGTGTGTCCGAAGTTGGAGGGTGGTGGGGTGACATGGTTAGAGAGTACAAATGGATTTGTCCAAATAGCTCTGCTTGGAAATCAATACATAGCACTTCTTCTCTCTAAATGGACGTATTTATTAAACATATTAACAGCCCAGATTGAAATCTACTTTGTTGACAAAGAATGCAGCTTATAAGCAGGGAATAAGATGATTTAAATTTTGAGAACCTAATACTGAAAAATTACAATGATCTTCCTCAGTTGTACATTTAAAATGAATCATTGATTCTCATTGTTGTTTAAATTAAAGATAAGTGTTAGTGGAGGAGAGTTCATAATGACTCATACTTTGAATTCTCCAGATAGGCTTCCTTTTTAAGACTAATTGCTTAATTAGAGATTTCCCCACTCCCTTTGCATAAAGAGGAAGAGAAATTGTACATAACTCAACTTACATTAACTTTTACCTGAATATATGTTTAAAACAAAAAGTCAAACAATTTAGTTTCCTAAAACCTCTGTTTGCTGGGACACAATCAGCAAGAAAAGAATAATATCCCAAAGACAAGGAGCAACTCAGAGCTCTATAGGATCTCTGCCTTGGCTAAAGGCAGTATAGTGGTGTCTTAAAAAAAAGTTTAAAACTTAGGCTTTACAATAGTGATTGCTAATAGAAAATGGCTATGATTTATGACACCCCATCTTAGATTGTCAATTTTCAGACAGTTGATATCTTTTCTATTTTGTTTAGTGTTGGAAAATACAGTGTGGGAGTAACAGGAGTCTATTTAAACTGATTTCTTTCTTTGACAGAAACTATACAAGGAAAACTATGAGAAGACAAAGGCAAAGAGCATAAATTACTGTGAGACCCCCAAATTCCAGCTTGACACAGTTTTGCAGAACTTCAGTAGTGATGTAAGCAATCCTTAACAACTTCCCCTTCTGTTAACAAGACCCAATCATTTAACAAATTATCTATTTGATTAATCAATGAACTGTGTTTTGTGTTTCAGACTAAATATAAAGATTCCTACTTAAAGAATATTTTGGGACATTACATAGGCAGCTTTGAGGATCCGTATCATTCACACTGTATGAAAGTTACAGCCCAAAACAGTGATGTAAGTTCTGGGACAATTATTTGACTTTCCAAATAACACATTTCAGAGGATAAATATAACAGTTGCATCCTTACATCTGCTCTTTTTCTTCTCATAGAAAAACTACAAAGCAGAGTATGAAGAGGATCGTGGGAAAGGCTTCTTCCCCCAGACTATAACTCAGGAATATGAAGCGATCAAGAAACTGGATCAGTGTAAAGATGTAAGTCCATAGTATGCACTGGGAATACCCAGTGTTGCAAATAGTGGGTCAAGATAGATTTAAAATTTTGACACTTTTACAAATATATGTCAACAAGGAAATCAAAAGAAACAAAATCTGTTCTGCTAAGATGCATTATTTTTCCTGGTTGGCATCTCCATGTTTCAAGAGTAAATTCCAGCTCATTTTCTTAAAAAATAAAAAGTATCAAGAATCTAAAAACAGGTCAAAGTTTCCAATATACACACCATAGCATCTGCAGAACAAACTAGTCCAGTTAGAAAAAACATTATACTTGCAGTCTTTGAGGGGGGATAGTGTTCTTCTTTCTCTTGGCCTCCAGTATTTGACAGCTAAAGCAAATTCCTTTCTCACTGACAGCACACTTACAAAGTACATCCAGATAAGACGAAATTCACTCAAGTCTCCGACTCTCCTGTTTTGGTGCAAGCTCAAGTCAATTCGAAACAACTGAGCGATGTAAGTTCCTCTACATACCCAGAGATTCCACAAAGGAAAGAGAGTTTTTCATAACCCCACACATGAATTCCAACCATGTTTCAGTTTTGTAGTTCTGGAGGTGGAATCCAGAGCCTCACTTATGCTGGGTAAGGCAAGCTACATCCCAGCCCACAAAATTTAAATTTTTGTCACATTTATACAAAAAGGCTAAGGAGCCAGGCACCGGTACCTCACACCTGTAATCCTACCTACTCAGGAGGCTGAGATCTGAGGATCACAGTTCAAAGTCAGCCCGGGCAGGAAAGTCCGTGAGACTCTCATCTCCAATTAACCACCAGAAAACCAGAAGTAGTCTGTGGCTCAAGTGGTAGAGTGTTCACCTTGAGCTGAAGAGCTCAAGGGTCTGGGTCTGGGATAGCACCCAGACCCAGAGTTCAAGCCCCATGACAGACCAAAAAAAAAAAAAAGGCTAAGGTTTAGCAATTTATACTTGTATATGTTTATAATCACATAAAATATAATTTTATTTGTATCATCTTAAACAGATCACATTTAGGAAAAAAAGTGATCATGTGAAGGAAACTTTGAGAACTAAAAACATTGAGTTCTAAAGTTAGACAAAACTGGACTCAAGTTTCAGCTCTGCCATTTATGACCAGATGGCCAAGTTGTTGAATATTTCTATTCCTCTTCTTTCTTTTTTATAATTTGATGTTTTGAAAATTAAGTGAAAGGAAAATGTACACAGCATACCTTGTAGCTCAACCAAACTAGATAGTCAGCATATAGGATTACTTTCTCCCAGCTAAGTTTCTGGAAAATAGAATCTTTGAGGTTTTTTTTTTTTTCTTATGAGCTTTAAATATAAATTTCTAAACCAATGTTGAATTAAAAATGTGAAAATAAAAAGTAACCTCAATAGATTTATGGCCAGAAATTGTTCATGGCATCAACAACTAAGATATATAAGAGGTGACAATTAGGAAAGATTTGAGCATCAACAGAAAAAAGACAGGGTAGAGTATCTCAGATTATCTCAGATCCTACCATGCCAAAAGTGAAGTGCATGGAAGGGAATGTGTAATAGACACCTCTTTCCAATAGGGTCTTGCCACAGCCACAGGTGAAGCAATAGCTGTCTAGGGTCCACCACACAGTAATGTAGGATGGCCTACTTAACCTCTATCTCTCTCACTCATGATCTTAACAACTTTGTCAGTTACTTCACAAAATATACTATATAAGAAAAGCTTTTGTATTTTGAAATGATTCTCTCTTTCTCCCCCCCTCCTCAAACTTGGCTCTCTTTAGCTAAATTACAAAGCAAAACATGAAAGTGAAAAGTTCAAGTGCCATATTCCTCCTGACACTCCTGCCTTTATCCAGCATAAAGTCAACGCCTACAACCTGAGTGATGTAAGTTTCCTGTCACTGTACACTATGACAAACTGACAACCAGGGCTCTCATTTTGCCATCGCTTCTTTGCAGCTGAATGAATAACTCAATGGTAAGGTGGGTAAGATAGTTAACATTTGTATCCTGTTGGAATAGGACGCAATGTGTCTGTCAAGGTAACTTGAATTCACCATTAAATGGGTGTAGCCATAGCCATCTTGTAAGTAGATTCATTCAACTAGACAATCTTAATATATTTTAACCATCCCTCAAAGTATCACCACTCGTATATGCTTAATTGCAAATCTTAATAGTGATCTTTTAGCTATGCATTCATTTATACTATTCCGAAATTCAGTTCTTCAGAATCTGGTCTTTTTAGATATAATTTCATGGTAGGCTTACAATGTCCTTCATTTTCACAAATGATACTTCTACACATAAGATAACTTGCATGAATGAAGATATAAAACATTTAAAAGGAAAATGTTGGGCTTCCGATTGCCGTCTCTTGTTTACTGAACTTAATTTGATAGAAAAGTCATACTGTCCTTCTCATCCTGAGGGGGAAGTATCTTAATTCCTTCATCAATTCCATAATAAGTTACAAGATCCATGAAATAATTTTTGAAGAAGATTTAGATGCAAGCGATGCCTTTATATCATAAGAAGTAAGTTACCTTTAGACTTGGGCGCTTTGTAAAATAGTCAGTGTTAGTAATCAAATATCAGAATGAAAACTAGAACTATAATAAGTTGATGAAAGAGTCTAATGGAGAGAAGAAAAGCCTGTTCTTGGATAATCAGCTTGGGGAGAATTATTTAAAATATGCATGATTTCATGGACAATTAAAAGGGTTCATTTATTTTACATTAAGAAAAAGTAATTTGCTGCCCTTCAGTCCTCAAGTGTTGTAACATGCATGTCACCTTTGCCAATTCCTTTGCTGAAATGTTCCTATCCAGAATGCCTATAAGCACGACTGGGAGAAGAGCAAAGCTAAGAAGTTTGACATTAAAGTGGATGCCATTCCCCTGCTGGCAGCCAAAGCCAACAGCAAGAATGCCAGCGATGTGAGTGTGGCTCTGGGTCTGGGCAGGGAGGCCTGAGGGACGCTGCCTGCTGGGCAGCATCCAGCATGAGGATGTCTTTGCAGGTGATGTACAAGAAGGACTATGAGAAAAGCAAAGGGAAGATGATTGGTGCCCTCAGCATTAATGATGACCCCAAGATGCTGCACTCCCTGAAGGCTGCCAGAAACCAGAGTGATGTGAGTGTCTTTGTAAACCACTCATACTTTCCAGTTTGGCCACATTTCTATAATGGACTGTGACTTTTTTGTGCCAGTTCTGGGCTTGAACTCATGGCCTGGACATTGTCTCAGAGCGTTAATGCTCAAGGCTAGCACTCTACAATTTGAGCCACAACTCCACTTCTCACACTTCTGTTTAATATAACCATGGACTGGATTTTAATTTAATTGAAATCTTAGATTCAGAATGACAAAGAATGAAAGCAAGAAAGGCTGGATGATTACGGAAAATGAGTGACCTTAACTACTCACTTACTTGTTTACATTGAAAATACACTGAATCTTGAAGAGTTAATTCCAGCTCATTTTCTTAAAAAAAAAAAAAAGTTCTGTTTTCACCGGAGGGAAAATATACTAGCAATGCTTTTTTCTTTGTCATTTTTTTCTGGAGATAGAGTTTGTATGTATACACCATAGATACACATATATGCATTCATTCAATGCCCTGAACTGATATAGGTATTTGCAAAGTCCTACGCAGAAAAATAAAAACAAATGAGAAAACTTAGTGGTGGCTCACACCAATAATCCTAGCTACTTGGGAGCTTGCTAATGGGAAGATCATTATTTAAGGCAAGAAGAAGCAGAAAAGTTTGTGATATCATTTCTCCACCTATAACTGGGCTCCATTTTCATGGCCTGACGTCTCAAGGTACTTGGGAGGCTGAGATTGATAGGATCACAGGACCAGCCCAGCCCAGAAAGAATAGTTCACGAATCTCCATTGCCATAGAGGGAGCTGGATGGGTCGATACACACCTGAGATCCTAGCAACTATGGGAAGCCTAAAAGTAGGCAGAACACAGCTCAGCAGCCTGGATTAGAAAGACACCTTTGCAAGTACTTGGCTCTGAGTTTAAACCCTAGAACCACTAGACGGGAAAAAAATTAAAAAGTAGGAAACATCAGATAAAAAAAATCAAAAGTAAAATATTTTGCCTTGAGAATTTTATAAAATATTAATCTCATTTTAAACACTTTAAACTCCTTACCAAAAATAAAATTTTAAATCCAAATTGTGTTTCTAGTTTTTAGAAATACTTCCGTCTTCCTTACCCATTTACAAGTCCTGTCTTTGCTGAGGATATTTTTGGATTTCTACATGAGAGAACTTAAAGAGAGTGTGAAGAAATACATGCAATGATTTAACACATGTTAAATGATTTTTAAAAACCATATCTTCATATATTGTTGTCATAAAACAAGAAAGGCCAACTTGCTAGAGGGGTGGCAAATGTGTTGTCACCTTGTTCTTAACTGATCATTTTTCTAGGGCAGTTCCTAACATCTAAGGTCCTCTTTAATCCATATTACTCATTTTATACCAACTTAAAAAATTTATTTTCTTTCAAATACATCAAATGTAACAAATACAAGGCAGAAATGTGCTCTAGCAGCAATGATGTATTTTAGGTTTTTCAATCTGAGAAACATTAGGACAAACAACATAAGCAAATTTATGATTATTTGCAGAGAGATTTTATAAAAATGCAAAGCTCATGTATATCTTCTGTTTGATGGGAAATAAATATGGAAGAAATACAAATTTGCCCCATTGGTTGAAGAATAGCAATAACATGAAAAGCTCTGCTTCCATGAGATATATTCTTGTTGGTTTCATTTGGTTTTGTTTTGACAGAGATTATACAAAGAAAATTATGAGAAGACAAAGGCGAAAAGCATGAATTACTGTGAGACACCGAAATATCAACTTGATACTCAGCTGAAGAACTTCAGCGAGGTTGGTAAACCTAGTTACTTCCTTGGTGGGAAGGCTTTTCCTATTGTTTGACAAATAACTATGAGCTTAAAATATGTATGTTTTCTTTTCCAGGCTAAATACAAAGATTTGTATTTAAAGAATATCTTGGGACATTATGTAGGCAGCTTTGAGGACCCATATCATACACACTGTATGAAAGTTTCAGCTCAAAATAGTGATGTAAGTTTGAAGGCAATTATTCATTTCTCACAGTGACATTGTTCGGGGAACAACAGCAATTTTGATCTATTTCTGTTCTTCCTCTTTATAGAAAAGTTACAAGGCAGAGTATGAAGAAGATAAAGGGAAGTGTTATTTTCCTCAGACAATAACACAAGAATATGAAGCAATCAAGAAGCTAGACCAGTGTAAAGATGTAAGTGGGCTTACCATGAATTCTTATAACGGTTTAGGGTGCTTGTGCCACCTAGTGGTAAACTGAGCAGGAGATTAAATACTAACATCAAGTGATTAGCAGGACATCAGCAATTTAAAATTTTGCCTGAAAAAAATTACAATTTTGCATGTTGGGTGTGTGTGTGTGTGGAATTGGGGAACATAAAAATGAAGTTGTTTACCAACTATCAAATAATTTCATGATTTAGAAGTCTTTCATTAATGTGTGTATGTGTATATTTGGGGCAAAATGAGGGATATGCAGGTTTGTGAGAATTAGGTTTTCATCACTGAGCAGATTTTTCACAAGGGACTAGCGTGTGCCAAGCATAGTTCTTGGTGCTGGGAAGGAGTAGGTAACAAGGCAGACTGCCTCTCCTGGAGCTTCCTTTGGAATGAGAGAAACAGACAATAAACAATGGATTCCAGGAATGCAAATGATACCAGACAATGTTAAAATGCGCACAGGATGGTGTTAAAATCCTAATATTCAATGTACCTATGTGAAAATGGAAACAGGTAACTTGAGGGTTGGGAGAGATGGAAAGGAAGATGATGGGAAGGGTAATGTTGGTCAAGATGCATTGCACAATACCTGGGCACTGATGGCTCATGTCTGAAATCCTAGCTACTCAGGGGGCTGAGATCTAAAGATTACTATGAGACGCTTTTGTTATTGTTGTTGTTGGTTGTGGTGCCTGAACTTGGCCTGGGTGCTGTCCCTCAGCTCTTCAGTTCAAGGCTAGCGCTTTACCATTTTGGCTACAGCACCACTTCCGGCTTTTTCTGCTTATGCAGTGCTGAGGAATTGAACCCAGGACCTCATGCATGCAAGGCAAGCATCCTACCACTGACCCATCTTCCCAGCCCTACTATGAGACTCTTATCTCCAATTAACTGCCTAAAAATCAGAAGTGGAGCTGTAGCTCAAAGTGGTAGAATACCAGCCTTGACTGCAAAAGCTCAGGGACAGTACCCAGGTTGTGAGTTCAAGTCCCATGACCAACAACAAGAAGAAGAAAAGATGCATTTTACTCATGAATTGATATGTGCAATTTAAACCCCTTTGTAACACTGTTTAAAGATAATAAAATAATTTTATTTTTTCAAAAAATAGTATTAAACTAGGATAATGTGAGGGAGCATGATTGGTTGGCCACTTTAGACTCAGGAAGGTATGAGACAGTAATGTCCAGCCCTGCCAAGATCAGGGTAGAGAAGCCAGAAGAAGACCCTAAGAAGAGAATGAGGAATTGGAAGGTTAGGAGACAGCTGAGCTTTATGGGGAAGGGGGAGGACTGTGAACGATAATATTGTAGGAAAGGAAGGAGGGTAGATGCAGGGTAGCTTGAATACCAACTTCAGGGGAAAGCTGGTTCAGGGAAGATTAATATAGTGGCAGAGGTGAAGCAGGAAAACAGGCAATTCCAGGAGACAGAAGTCAGGAAGGAGAATGGGAAAAAAGTAAAAGAGATGAGATAAGAATGTATCAAAGTTTGAGGAGCAATCAAACAATTTTTTACTGGAACCTCTTCATACATGAGTGTGAATTTGACAAGAATATAAAGATACACTTAATTTTATTAAAGTCTATCTTCTTTTCTAGCATACTTACAAACTCCACCCGGATAAGACTAAATTCACAGCAGTCACTGATACTCCTGTACTATTGCAAGCCCAGCTCAATACCAAACAGCTTAGTGACGTAAGTATCTTGACTTGTGCTTTGAAGGTTACCTGCATAGAGTGCTTGGTTTCATTTAAAATGTCACCATTTACACACTTAATCTTCATGGACTCATCAACCATCTAGTAATGTGGCTCTGTGGCTCAAGTGGTAGAGCACTTGCCTTGAGCTGAAGAGCTGAGGGACAGTGCCCAGACCCAGAGTTCAAACCCCACGACCAATACGTACACGTGCGCGCACGCATACACACACACACACACACACACAAATTGCTCCTATGGTTTCCATTAATTTACTGATTCACTGATTTTTAGTAAGAATACTGTGCTTTCTCTCTAGGACCTGTTACATAGACACTAAAACACTAAAATCAGGGCCAGAAAGAGCCTCCATTTGGGTGGGTAACTAGGCAGATATTAAGTTATGAAAACTTCTGAAAGAGAAAGAGACACAAGTACCATAAAGACTTCAGACAATAAAGAAACTACTACACACAGATTATAATTGTATGATGTTGTGGAAGGCATTAATGATTAAGGAAAGTTGAAGGCAGGAGTGGTTCAACCATGCAGAGATTAGAACAACCGTTTCCATTCATAAGATCACCTAGTGACCCTGTTAAAAATGTAGATTCTAATTTAGTAGGCTTTGGGGGAACCCCCATATTTTGCCTCTCTGCTTGTGCTTTGTACCATCAGCTACAAAATTGTACAACCTAATTTATTTGCATTCCCTTTTTCTACCTAATACTGCCTTTTCTAAACGTTAAATTCCATGTTTAAAATTTTAGTAGGAATTCATCATTTTAGCTGTGTAAATATCTTTAGGGTTATCGCTCTTTTGTTGTTACTATGATCATAGTATTTAATACTTTTCATGTCCTTCAGTCACAGAGCAGTGACATTAATCAGATATGTTTGTCCCTAAGCAATTAAATAGCAACTTCAAATCTGGTTATACCATAATCCCTGAAAGAGAGGGTAAGAACTCAGAGCCTTTTCTAACTTTGATAGCATTGTGTACCTTAGTGTGCTTTTTCTTAGTACCAATGAATTAGGTATGTACACACACACACACACACACACACACACACACACATATATCTGAGCTGTTGGAAATCTGTGTTGGTCCATTTTCAGTTGCTATAGGAAAATACTTGAGACAAAATTATTTATAAAGAATGAAGGGTTACCTACCTCATGGTTCTGGAATCTGGGAAATCCAAGAGTATGGTGCTCGTATGTAGAGATAGCTTCTGGTTGCATCATAAAATGGTAGGAAGAGGACATCATGTGATGGGACGAATCAAGCTAGCCAGACAGGTGGCTTTCATAACAAAGCCACTCCTGTGATCACCCATTTACCTACTAATGTATGAGTGGATTAATCCATTTATCAGGGCAATGGCCTTCATACACAATTACTTCCCAAAGATCCTACTTTTCAAATAGCCATTAATATATGACTGGAGATTATTTTTCCAATACTGAGACTTGGTAGACACCTTCAACCCATAGTTGAACCCACTGTTTTTCAGCTGAACTACAAAGCAAAGCATGAAGGTGAGAAGTTCAAGTGCAATGTGCCAGCAGATGCTCCTGAGTTTATTCAACACAGGGTCAATGCCTATAACCTGAGTGACGTAAGTACCAAAGCCACAGATGCCTGTTTGGTGTGTGAGATATATGTGTTTAAAAATAATCAGTCAGGCACTAGTGGCTCATGACTGTAATCCTAGCTACTTGGAAGGCGGAAATCTGAGGATTGTGATTCAAAGGCAACCTAAGCAGGAAAGTTCATGAGACTCTTATGTCCAACTATCCATTAGAAAGCCAGAGGTAGAGCTGTGGCTCAAATGGTAGAGCACTAACCTTGAGCAAGAGAAAATACAGCCCAGAGACAGTGGCCAGGGCCTTGAGTTCAAGTCCAGGACCAGCACAAAACAACAGCAACAAAGAAGACAGAATCAAGAGTTATGTAAATAAACTGTACGATTGTTAACCATTGTGAAAATAGAGATTTAAGGCCCAAGTACTCTTAAGACTCTTACTTAGCAATCAGGTTTAATTTTCCTTGGCACTTGTCAGTGTTTCTTCATTTATCCTGTTGCCAATCACTATTGTTTTCAAGCTCACTTTCATGCAAATATCACATTTCATCTTCTTTAAATGGCTGTCATTTTGAATTATTCTTTATATACTAAGGTAATAGTTTTTACAATGTTCTCAACATTCAAAAGAGTATGCAATATTCCCATTCTTTTTCCCACTTATGGAAGAAGATACTAGATGATAGACAAATTAAATTATACTTATATTGCATAAAATTACTTATCGGTTAAAAAAGACTGTGTACCAATGGGTAAGAATGTTGAAAAGGGTAACACTGATAAAGATGTATTATATTCATAAACTGCTTTATTGAATGGCAATTCCTTTGTACAACTACTTAAGGAGAATAATTAAAAATTAAAACAAATAAATAAATGATGTATTAGATAAAAAAAAGCTTATGCCCAGGTGCTGGTGGTTCACAGCTGTAATCCTCAGGCAACTGAGATCTGAAGATAGAGTTTCAAAGCTAGACTGGGCAGACAAATCTAAGAGATTCTTCTCGACTGTTAACAAGCTAAAGAAACTAGAAGTGGAGGTATAGCTCAAGGGATAAAGTGCTTGAGCAAAAGTGCCAAGCAAGAACATGAATCTCTGGTTTCAAGCCCCAGAACTGAAACAAAGGAAGAAAAATCTAATTCGAAAGCCATTGTCATTTCTAAGGCAGATTATTTTCCATTTTGTAGCACACCAGCCTTGTAGAGTACTAGCCTTGAATGGGAAAGAAGCAAGAGTTAAGAGGTCCTGAGTTCAAAGCTCCAATACAACAAACACACACAAAGAGACTGGAAAATTTTAAGCATTTTTATGTATTACTCTGTGCTCAGTGTTGATTTTTAAAATAATTCTTTTACTGAAATGTTTCTGTCCAGAATGTCTATAAGCATGACTGGGAGAAGAGCAAAGCTAAGAAGTTTGACATTAAAGTGGATGCCATTCCCCTGCTGGCAGCCAAAGCCAACAGCAAGAATGCCAGTGATGTGAGTGTGGCTCTGGGTCTGGGCAGGGAGGCCTGAGGGACGCTGCCTGCTGGGCAGCATCCAGCATGAGGATGTCTTTGCAGGTGATGTACAAGAAGGACTATGAGAAAAGCAAAGGGAAGATGATTGGTGCCCTCAGCATTAATGATGACCCCAAGATACTGCACTCCCTGAAGACGGCCAAAAACCAGAGTGATGTGAGTGTCCATCTTAGGCTCAAGATGGTCTTCCTGCTAACATGCTTAGAAGGGCTTGGGGGCGAGGGTGGAAGTTTGGGTGGTAGGGGACAGTGGTGGTGGTGATGTAACACATAAAAACATTATATATTGCGGGTGCTGGTGGCTTAGATCTTTTTTTTATTTTATTTTATTTGTGAACATACTGTACAGAGGGGTTACAATTACATGGGCAGGATAATGCGTACATTTCTTACCAAGCATTGCAGCCTCCTCCTTTGGTTTACCCTTCACATCCCTTCCCAGCCTCCCCACTCCCCCACAATCCCAACCCTTCTCCTTCCCCCCCCCCAACCGACGTTGTAAAGCTCGTTTTGGACATGACAACTTGTACTTCTCGTTGTTGCATCAGTGGTGGCTTAGATCTTTAATCCTAGCTACTCAGGAGACTTAGATCTCAGGATTGTGGTTCGAAGCAAGCCTGGGCAGAAAAGTCCAGGAGACTCTTATCTCCAAGTAACCACAGGAAAACTGGAAGTGGTGTTGTGGCTCAAAGTGGCAGAGCTGTAGCCTTGAGAACAAAAACCAGGCCCTGAGTTCAAGCTCCATGGCTGAAAAAATAAAAGAAAGAAAAAGAAAAAAAGAATGTATACCCAAAGGCCCAATCTTTTTTTTTATTTGGGGTCCGGTCACGGGGCCTGAACTCTGGGCCTGGGTGCTATCCCTCAGCTGTTCAGCTCAAGGCTAGTGCTCTACCACTTGAGCCACAGCACCACTTCCAGCTTTTTTCTTTTTGCTTATGTGGTGCTGAGGAATCGAACCCAGAGCCTCAAGCATGCAAGGCAAGTGCTCTACCACTGAGCCACCTTCCCAGCCCCCAAAGGCCCAATCTTGTTCACAAGAGCTTGCTGAAAAGGGCTTGAAAAGTAGAATGATTTCCCAGGGTCTTGTTGTTGCATGTTTGGGAAAAACTTATTATTGATAGGCACTTGAAGTACATTTCACTTTGAAAATGGTATGCATTAATCTTTAATACATTATCATTCTCAAAACCTCTTGGAAAACATCATCAGATGTTTTAATCTAAATGAAAAATGTCCTTTAGGATTTAAAGTACCAACCCCTGCTTTCACTATATATGATGTTGGTATATGTGGAGGGGAAGGGAAAAAACAAATTGTTAAAAAAGGGATACAGGAGGATCCATTGCAATAATAAGATGTACAAGTTGTTATGTCAAAAAACGAACTTTACAACTTTGGTTGGGGGGGACGATGTGTGGGGGGAGGATACGAAGGGACGGGAAGGGGAAACACAGGAGGAGGCAACAATGCTTGATAAGAAATGTACTCATTATCTTACCCATGTAATTGTAGCCCATCTGTACAGTATTTTCACAATAAAATATATTTTTAAAAAAAGATTTAAAGTACCTTTAGCAGAAAATCATGACTGAATATACTTATCCATGCTGTTAATTGACTTTAGTCATTAGTACTGGCCTAGGCCTAAGAAAAACACTCGATTAATTATGTAACCCTTTAAAATACAATTTTTAAAAAAAATTCAGCTAATGTACTCATTATCTTGCCCATGTAATTGTAACCCCTCTGTACAGTATTTTCACAATAAAAAACATAAAAGTAAAAACAAATAAATATACAAACAAAAAATTCAGCTCCCTCCCTAGAAAACACTTTTTTAAAAATAACTTTTGCCTAAATTTCAGGGAATTAATAGATTTTCTAAAGATTATCTTTAGGCTAGTATTTGCTATAGAGAGGCAAAGATCTAGTATTACAAATTACAGTATATACTGTATTTTAAACATTTTTTTATTGTGCAAATACCATACAGAGGGGTTACAATTACATGGACAAGGGAATGAGTACATTTCTTATCAAGTATTGTTGCCCCTCCTTTGTTTCCCCTTCCCATCCCTTCCCATGTCCACCCGACACCTCCCGTTCTCCCCACTCCCCCCACACCAAAGTTGCAAAGTTCATTTTCGACATAACATCTTGTAATCTCATTGTTGCAATGGGTCCACCTGTATCCCTATTTAAACAATTTGTTTTTTCCCTTCCCCTCCACAAATTATACCAACATCAAATACAGTGAAAGCAGGGGTTATACCGTGAGGGAGGGACATACAAAGCAACAAAGAAATATCTTATAAATATATTTTTAAAGCCTTAGAAAGCTGGATGCTTGTGGCTCACAGCTGTAATTCTAGTTACTCAAGAGGCTGAGATCTGAGGATTGTGATTTGAATCTAGCCCAGACAGGAAAGTCCATAAGACTCTTATCGCCAATAAACTATTCAGAAAAAGCCAGAAGTGGCTCAAGTGGCAGAGCACTGGCCTTGAGCAAAAGCAGCTCAGGACAGAGCTCAGGCTGTGAGGTCAAACCCCAGGAGTTGCACAAAAAAAATAAGGACAAAGGAAAAAGAAAAGAAAAAAGAAAGAAAGAAAAGAAAAAGAAAAAAGATAGAGCTAAAACTGTTTATCCCCCCCCCACATACACATACACACACACACACACACACACACACACACACACACACACACACACACACACAGAGTTTACACAAGGCTTAGATGATCCCTTAGAGTAATAACAGTGTTCAACATAGACTTGCACCATTTACTTTAATCATGTATTCATATAATGATGTGTACACACCTTCTTCCTTATCAGTAAAAATGCTCACAAATACAACACTACTAGCCCCTTGTCCTTTCTCTACTCAAGAAGGCTCCAGCTCCTGTTGATGTCATGTGTAGCTTTATCTTTTATTTTTTATCCTGCCACCAAATGCCTTAGAACATGAGATACCAATAAGTTTACAAACATTTGTTAATAACTGGTGTCAGCACCTGAAAGAGATCATCAATGGGGTTATGCTCACATAATGCCCAAGCTAAAAGAATCTTTTAAAGGCATTTGGATATTTGACAATACTTTGTCTACACTGGGATGTATCTTCTGGTTTGAACAAAAACAAAAGAATCAAAGCAATTCAGTAATCACTTCCTCACACCATCTACTGTTGTACCATTGCTTATCAGTTTCTTCTAACTAAAAAAAAAACTTTTAAAATGTTCTTATGATAATGAATTTCCATTTTTATTTTCATAAGTGAGGGTCTAGATTTATAATTAAACACTAAATTTATTCAGTAACCATGATTATCCACAAAATATCAGAAAGTAGCTCAAATTCCCTAAGCTAAAGATCCAATCATTTGCGAGGAAAATTACTACAGAAAATTTTACAAAGTACATCTCTATTTACTGGCTTGGGTCACTAACACTTTGAGTAGTTATAAAGAAGAGAAGGTAGTTTTATAGCTTTTGTAAAGGAAATTGGTCAGAATTTTTTTCTCTGTTGAAGTAACTGGTAAGTTGATAATGATGAAACAGGGAATTTGGCCTAATTAGCACAATGTCTAACCATTCCAGAATACCTGACAATGAAGGTGCCTCCTGAGGCCCAGCCAGGACATTTGGCTTATGAGAGCATAGTACACAGAGCCAAGGTTACTTTCATGGCTCGGTTTCACCAACTTTGTTCCCCTGAGGTTATATAACTACAGCAGTCTGAAGCTTCTATTAAATTGTCACTAAAATTAAACTTGGAATGAAAAAACAAACACGCTTGCTGTTCTCAGTGGAGCTCATAATAGATTGAAAATGTAACTATCATTTAAAAATGACTCTAGAAAGCTTGGAAGATAGTTCTATGTGTGAAGTAGACAGGCGATAAAATCAATGATATGAAATGACTTTCATGTGCTTTTCATTAATTAGAAAATACATCTTGATTGGGAAACTTGAAGTTAGCTTTCATCAACAGAAACAATGCTTGATAGCAGGCCTTTTAAAATCCTGTTTTAAAATAAGCCCTGTATGAAACAGAAGCTGTGGCCCATTCCTAATGTCTGCTGTCACTCTCTATAGTTGCTATTTGATCTCAAATGATTTGGGAGGATCGGTGCAGATGTGGTTTTTTAGGGGATTTCAATGATAGGTGAGATAGGAGCAGATTTGGGAGCAAAATATCTCAGTTGTTTGTATCTCTTCATCTAGTTTGTATTTACTTTGCTTTTGAAAATCCATTAGGGATTTGTATTAAATGATCATTTCCTGTCACAGCGTGAATATCGCAAAGACTATGAAAAGTCAAAAACCATCTACACGGCCCCGCTTGATATGCTCCAAGTCACTCAAGCTAAGAAATCTCAGGCAATTGTCAGTGATGTGGATTATAAACACGTCTTGCACAACTACAGCTACCCACCTGATAGCATCAATGTGGACCTCGCCAAGAAGGCATATACACTGCAGAGTGATGTGAGTACCTGAGTTTTCTCTACTCTCTCTTTATTATTGTTGTTGTTTTTGTGCCAGACCTGGGGCTTGAACTCAGGGCCTGAGCACTTGCCCCTGAGCTTTTGTACTCCAGGCTAAAACTCTACCACTTGAGCTACAGATCCACTTCCAGCTTTGTGGTGGTTAATTGGAGATAAAAGAGTCATATGGATTTTCCTGCTTGGACTGGCTTTGAACTGTGATCCTCAGATCTCAGTTTCCGTGGTAGCTAAGATCACAGATATGAGCCACTAGTGTCCAGCTAAGATTACAGACATGAGCTGCTTTACTCCCTCTTTTGAAGGTGGAAACTAAGAAGGATTTCTAAGTTGAGCAAGGTTTCTGACTTCTCACAGACTCTGTAGGGTCTTCTGTGTATAAACAATCAGGTCATGAGAAATTACCCTTGTAGTATTAGAGGTGCTCATCCTTGGGTATAGGGACATCTGATCTGGCATGCACTCCATTAGCAACCTTGCTGGGTCTAGAACCTTCCTCTGTTAAATTGGAATTCAACAAATGTGTTATTTGGAAGGTCTAAGTGGATTCTAAACACTAGTATAATGCTTAAGGCCCTTTTGTAAATGCCTAATAAACATTAGTTATCTTCAGTGCATTTATTATAATCACATTCATCATTATCATTCAATTTTATACAGATTACTATGTCCTGGGAAGAAAATGTCATTTGCAGCAGCATCTTTTATTGCTTTTTTCTGCCAATTAAAACTTCTTTAGACAAATTTCACTTATAGTATAGTATAGTGTACTTAATATTCATACATATTGCTTTTGTCAGAATTTCTTTCCTTTTTATGACCAAATTAAATTCCATTATCTATATCACATGTTATTTATACATCCATCTGCTAATGGATGATTAGGTTGACTTCACCTTTTAGTTACTATGACACCAATAGAAGAATGTTTCTTCAAAGATCTTCCTTTTAATTCTTATAAGAATATGTCCAGGAGCTGAAATGATAACTCATATGGTATTTTGGATCATATAGTAGTTCTATTTTTAACTTCTTTGGGGAAACATCATATTGTTTTTCTTGCTTGCTACATAATTTTATACTCTCACCACTAATAGTTCCATTATTGTTTCTTAATATTTCTGATTCTTCATATCAAGTAGATTGTAAATCTTGCAAGGGCAGGGACCAAATGCTTTCTTTTTATTCTTATTCAACACTAAAGATTAATTCTTTAGTCTTTATATCAGCTATGGCCAGACAACAAAAGTGACTCATTATTTTAATAAATGAAGTAACTATCTCCCAAATAAGACCAGTTCCAAATAATTGCTTCTTAAACAAATTAACAAGCATAACTATTGTAAAATCTCTTGTTAGTCAATGTAGAAAAACTGATAATATAGGTATATACATGTGTAAGTTCAGTGTGCACAAAGCACTTAGGAAAAATGACTATGAAGTCTTATCTAATTAGAAAATGAGCAGTTATTCCTTCATTGTGAGTTTCAAGTCTAACCATAAAAATGTAATATTTGAAGTTTCAGGGAATGAACCTCTTACATTTAAACATGTAAGTACAGTCATTTGATTAATTCTTCAAAATAAGCATTTTCTGGGTTAAATTTAGAATTCTACATACTCCCATTTGAGCAGGAAATAAGAACAAAATGGACTAAACACTCAAAAGGAGAAAAGAAATAAACCTTGGGGCTGTTCAAAAAAAATCTCTCACAAAAGAAATATATAATTTTTTCCAAGTCTTTCCATTTCCTAACAAATGGGGCAATGTCATTCTCTCTGATGGAGGAATAGAATTATTATATTAAGTGAAGTAAGCCAGGCCCAAAGAAACTTAGGTCCCATGGTTTCCCTTATTTGCAATAACTAGTATATGTCTGAGTCAAGCAGAAAAGGTCAGATAAGTTGATGTTAGAGAAATGAGCCCTAAGATATGTATTCAAATGTTTTTTTTTTCTTTCAGGTGATTGTTTCTAACACATTTATAAGATTATTTCTTTGTTGCTTTGTATGTCCCTCCCCCATGGTATAACCCCTGCTTTCACTGTATTTGATGTTGGTATAATTTGTGGAGGGGAAGGGAAAAAACAAATCATTTAAATAGGGATACAGGTGGATCCATTGCAACAATGAGATGTACAAGTCGTTATGTGGAAAAATGAACTTTACAACTTTGGTGGGGGGGAGGAGAATTGGGGGGAGGGATGGGAAGAGATGGGAAGGGGAAACAAAGGAGGAGGCTACAATGCTTGGTAAGAAATGTACTCATTATCTTGCCCATGTAATTGTAACCCCTCTGTACAGTATTTTCACAATAAAAAAATTGGAAAATAAAGAAATATATAAAGTAATCTCCACCTATGGAGAAATAGACCTGCTAGGATTTTTTTTAAGAAATGGTTAAAATAGTAATCATTTTAAATCAAAAGGATGACCCTGAACATAGACATGTACATTTTCTCTTGGTGTTTTAGGTGGAATACAAAGCTGACTACAACAGTTGGATGAAAGGCTGTGGCTGGGTGCCTTTTGGGTCTTTAGAAATGGAAAAGGCAAAACGAGCTACTGAAATCCTTAACGAGGTAAGCCCATGGGCTTTGTTCCACAGGCTAGGAATGTGTTGGGTTTAAGACTCTCAAAGCCATGGGAAGTGTCCCCTTTTCTGCTACATTCCATGATCATTATTACTGGGAACAAAAGGAAAACCACTTGCATGAGTGGTAGATAAACACACACTTGTGCATTAACTGTAATCACACATGCTAAATATTTGAAATAGAAATATTTTAACAACTTTATAAAAAGATATAATTTACCTATCATCAAATTCACCTATTTTAAATATATCCCTTTACAAGTTTAATAAATTCATATAATTATGCAGCCTTCAGCAAAGTGAACTTAAAATGCTACGAGTATTCCAAAAAGTTTCCAAAAAAAATGTTACTTTTCCATCCTCAGACCCCAACATAAAACTCTCTCGAGGTTTATTTTTTCTAACGATTTCTTTTGCTTCTTATGATGTTTTTGAGGTTATCCATGCCTATGCCTGTAATTCATTCCTTTTTTTAAAAAATTAGTATTCTTCCCTTGTATGGACATAGCAGATGTTGATGTTTTCTTTGTCAGTTAGTGGTGTACAGGTTATTTCCAGTTTGGGGTGATTGTCAGTAATGCAGCTGTCATCTTTGAAAAAGTATGCCCTATGTTATAAGTGTGATGACTCTGTAGTAGTTCTATAAATTACTATTAAGTCTTTAAAAAAGCATATCTTGAGGATTTTAGAGCAGCAAGTTTCGCTGTCCTCAATCACTAGCAGCTGAAAATGCATTGTAATCAGGTGACTGTGTCATCAGAGGGTGACTACCTGACAGACAGAGGTCTTAAAGATGTTCCAGCTTTTATCTGTCTTGTTACTTTGTGTTTTTATTTTGTTCTAGTGAACACAGTTTGCGAGCTCTTTCAGAGGAAGTTTTGGGGTTTGTTTGTTTTTGTTTTCCGAATTGCTTGTCTTCAGAAACCTAAAGCTGATAAAGCAGTGTTACCCTATGTGTAAAAGTGAGAATGTATGATATGTACCAAGGATGAGGACTAGGAACATAGAATAGAATGGAGGATTAAAGATAGCTAGATGTTGCTGGTTCCCAGTTGGTACACCTTCTCACAGTTCCCCTTCCTTGACTATTCAAGGTTAATTGATAACTGTGGTGCTAGCTCCAGCAAAGCTAGCAAAGCAGGGCCTCTCCATCTTAGTCATCTCTCATTCCTGGCTGTTGCCCTAGATGCTTAGCTCCTCCTCCTTCAACTGAGAGGCATCTTTCTTCAGTTGCTAGTAGAGTGACAGGAAAAATGATGTCCCTAAGAATCCATTAGTGTCATGCAAACATACCCAAAATCTTCTTGCTTGCTTTACTATGACTCCTTGTTAGAACATTATGATGTTTATGGATTCAGCTTAGGGGGGAGCAAACACTTCATGCTGTAAGCAAGAAATGAAGGGTTAGTGTATGTCTGGCTCCTGAAAGTTAAATTGGACTATGCTCTAACTCTTCCATAGCTAAATCAATTTTAAAACATTGGCTTGTGTAGTGTGTTTCTTTTTCATTCAAGCCAATCAAGGTATTAGTATTTTTGTATCTTAGTATTATATATAAATGTAGTTTACTATTTTAAACTGCAAAATACATTTTGAGGTTTTTGATGCATGTTAGTTTAAGTGAAAAATATATAATTTTCTCTTTTTGATTTGTCAAATAGAAAAAGTATCGACAACATCCAGACACACTCAAGTTTACCTCAATTGAAGATGCTCCAATTACAGTACAGTCCAAAATTAACCAGGCCCAGAGGAGTGATGTAAGTGTTCAACCTGTGTATAGTTTAATAATTACTAATTAACACAAATATATTTGAATGCAATGATCACCCATAACTAAACTACAGTACATTTACACAAGCAATTATATATTTCTCTAGCTGCTCACTAATAAAACACAACTAATTTATATCTTCAGGGTATTATGCATATTATGTATAGGATATTATGTATTCAGTATATATGTAACCCTTCTTAATGATAACTACAAGAATCTGTAGTAATGAATATAGAGGCACCAGATCTTGTGGAGGAATTCTATTTTAAGGATTCTATCTGAAACTAGGACAAAGATTCTATGTAGTGTAAACTATACCCCTAAGTCTCTCTAATCTCCCACAAACTTTAACAAAGGTGGCTAGAGTACTCCATCCCATCAGCCTTTCCTATCTTCAAGAAAGTATCTGCAGGTTAATATTTTTTATCAGATCACCTCCCTAGGCTAAGTTCTACCAGGTTTCCTTATCTTGGTTCAGACATCCCTTGTGCATGCTAAGAGATCTTTGCTGACAGAACCAGCACTGTGGTAGGAACTTGTATAAAAGTGACCTTAAATACCCACAAATATTTGCAGATAAAAATGGGGGCAGGGCAGAGTGACTTTCCTAAAACTTTCCTTTGGCAAGATCTCCACTCTGAAATTACTTTCTTGTTCATGAAATGTTTATTCTTTGTCTATGTACCATTTCTCTTCTAGATCAATTACAAAGCCAAAGGAGAGGAAATTCTGCACAAATACAACCTACCAGCAGATCTACCACAGTTCATACAAGCTAAAGTCAATGCCTACAATATTAGTGAGGTACATGTGTGGATTTTGGCTGATGTTTGTATGTATTCAGTCTTCACTAATGTGGCCTTGGGGTTACACTTGGATGACATTTTTCTTTCAGAATATGTACAAAGCAGACTTGAAAGATTTGAGCAAGAAGGGATATGATCTGAGAATTGATGCAATTCCCATCAAGGCTGCCAAAGCTGCCAGGCAGGCAGCAAGTGATGTAAGTCCATCTAGGGTAATTAGAAAATGTGGGTGGGTGAGTTGGGGCCTCATGGGTTACTCAATAGTCGCACATCTACTGGAAGCAAGTCTAGCTAAAAACTACTCTAGAAAGAAAGCTTTCTAAACAGATCTGAATTTTCTTGGAGGACAAGGCTGGTATAATTTTCCACTAATTACTTCTCATATTCACCGAGAGTTTAAAAGTATCATCTAGATTTCTGTACAACTTCACATTTCTTCTCTTTTAAGAAATTAAGAAGTAATTTACCACTTAAGTTGTAATAGCCTCCTGGTGGTAAAATTTTATCTCACATCTCAATTTGTATGATTTCCTTCTCTTTCTTCTCCTTCCCTTTATTTCATCTATTGATGGATGAATCGGTCTCAAGTGTCACAGCAGCTAATAGTTGATTGGTTTCCACTGATGTTTAGAATTTTAATTTTTTTTTACCATTGTTCATTTTCACTTAGAAATGGACTGAAGTCACATTGCTATTTGAGATGTTAATGGCGTTGGCTAGGGCCCTGCTTGTTGTCCTATAGGAAGCAGAATCCCTTGCTCACAGGGTCTTCAGTTCCTCTGAAGGGTTTGCGTTTAGAAGGCAGCTGTGTTCACCACTATATCCCCAGTAGAATAGGCAGTTTATGTTTTTGTGACCATCCCCTGGCTCCTGGTTTTTCATGAGCTTATCTGGGCACTCCTCTGGTAGATTTACTTTTTCTGCTCCATGTGAACCAGATGTGCGCCCAAACTTTCTTTCTGACTTCCCAGAAAATTCCAAGCACAATATTACTGCTTCAAATGAGGTTTACATGGCACGAATATGAATATAATTAAATAACAAATGTCCAAATTCTGAAAAGCTCTTCCACCTGCAGTTTCTCAGTGATGTGGACATTTCTTTCAGCCATGCTGTGCTCCAAATACCACCATATTCCCTCGTATGTCTGCTTGTGTCTCAAGCTCCTCTCCAAGTCTCCCTTCAGAAGTCCAATCCCTTACCTTTAATGTTCAGAATCAATTAGTGTGTACCACTGGCTCCAGGCCTCTCTTTGAATAAACAAGGACTCTTGAAAATTCTACAACTGCTAAAATTCTAGGACTAAGAAAAGAAGTAGTATGTGGAACTCTACCAGTCTTAATGTCATTGACACAGCCTGTGACATACTTTTGTTTCCATTCTTTCCCAGTAACTATGTGCAAAAATATAGACAATTACTTTGTCACTAATATGAATTATGGGAACAGTCCCAGTCCAAGTGATTTAAAGTACACAGGATACTAAGCATAAACTACAAGCATCATTTCACACAGGGACTTATTTATGCATGATTTTGGTGTCTGCAGGGCCAGGAGGTTGGAAACAGTCCTCTTTTCAGTAACAAGAAATGTCTCCTTGTACAAGTGAATAGCTTATTAGTTATTGATATAGAGTGTCAAATTTGAATCATGGCCCTATTTTTCTGTAAAATCTTGTAAACTACATTTAAAAACATGCATCTTGAAAACTACATTTTAAAACATATTCATCTTTTGTTTCCAACAGGTTCAATACAAAAAAGATTATGAAAAGGCCAAAGGGAAAATGGTTGGCTTCCAAAGTCTCCAAGATGATCCTAAACTGGTTCACTACATGAATGTGGCAAAAATACAGTCAGACCGGGAATATAAAAAAGATTATGAAAAGACCAAGACCAAATACAATACACCTCATGATATGTTCAATGTTGTGGCTGCCAAGAAAGCTCAAGACGTTATCAGCAATGCCAACTACAAGCATTCTCTTCATCACTACACCTACCTGCCCGATGCCATGGGCCTGGAATTGTCTAAAAACATGATGCACATCCAGAGCGATGTAAGTGCCATGACTCCCACAAGAGGTCCCCCCCCCCACCGCACCCAGTTCTGGGCCCATCACCCAGGTGCTTACTCTTCTTTCTCTCTGTTGCTGTAGAATGCCTACAAGGAAGATTACAACAACTGGATGAAGGGCATTGGCTGGATACCAATTGGTAGCCTTGACCAAGAAAAAGTTAAAAAGGCAGGTGATGCCCTGAATGAAAAGAAGTACAGGCAACATCCAGATACTCTCAAATTCACCAGCATCGTGGACTCCCCAGTGATGGTCCAGGCCAAGCAGAACACACAGCAAATCAGTGATGTGAGTACTGAGAAAGCGTGAGGGCATAGAGTGTGGAGGGGAGCTTTTTAAAGAAAAAGCTAGAATCAGCTCAATAGTTTTATTCTTCAGAGAAGTGTGTTTTTGTTTAAAACTTATTATTTTATACAATTAGTGTAAAAACAAAAATGATACTTTTTAAACAGTGGGTAGCAAAAAAAAATTTTTTTTAACCTTCCTTTAAAAACATTTTCCGTCTGGGCACTGGTTGGCTCATGCCTGTGATCCTAGCTACTCGGGAGATGGTGATTTCTATGAACATGGTCAAAGCCTACCTGGGTAGAAAAGTCTACCAGATTCTGTCTTTTAAATAACTGGTGAAAAGTTGGGCTAGAGGCATGAAGTCAAGGGGTAAAGCAGCAGCTGAGGAGGTAAGCCAAGCATATATAAGGTACCAGCAAAGAAAAGAACTGCATTTTAGCTGCCTTTAAGACAGTGTCTTTAAGAGACTTTGTTATTTTGGATACATTTGGCATGGATTGGTAAACAGCTATATTCTTTATTATTGTGTTTGTGGTAATGGTGCCGAGGTTTGGATTCAGGAATTCATACTCTCATACTGAGTTGTCACTACCAACTGTGCCTTGCCTCTTGCCTACAAAAAGTTCTATTTCAATCCTTCATGTACATACCCCCCCCACAACAAATTTAGCCTAAATCACACACTCCTTGTGGCAAATTCATCTTATTTAATACTAAGCTGACATTTGCTTTTCATATATGACTGTATAGGAAAACAGCACAAATGAGTGTATTTGTTCCTCAGAATTCATTCTCAATGAGACATTTGAAATGTTATCTTGGTAGAGATAAGGATTGTTTTCTAACCTCCCATGGGCAGTATATATGCTCTGGCTAATGTTGACAGTTTTGTTTATTTTTGAAAAGGTTATAATATTTATTTATTTCTATTTCATTTCTTCAATGTTATATTAATGTATACAAATCTACCAATACAGATTAATAAGTGCTCCAAGAGCATAATATAGTTCTGACTATATCCATGCACTCACTAATTCATACCATTTCACAAACCAGCACTACTATTTCCAGTTCAGGAGAATCAGATTGAAAGAGCTTACATCACTTTTCTTAGTTCATATGATATGAAATGGTAGAGCTGACAAGATTACCTTCAAATTCTATTTCTCTATCTTCTCAAATTTTCTGGTATAAAACACAGATATTTCGTTACTACTTGCTTAGCCTGGGATCACATATTCATTAATATTCCTCATCTGAATATTTGAAAAGGTGCTTCAAGCATGGTTGTCTCCAATGATAAAGTATTTTGAAATACATGGCAGATGTCTAGAACTCTTTCATAAACTCTCATATTTAGCATGCTAAATGAACAGATCATCCCATGAGTGTCTAAATAAATGGGTGGAAGGATAGTGTCAGTCTGGTGGAGAAACAAATGAAAATTGTATCCTCACATCTGAACCTCAAGCTCTGAGAAGGATTGAGCCATGTTGGAAAGGGAGATAGAAACCACCTCTTTTTCCAATGTGCCAACTATGCAAAGCCTACAAAAGAAGATTAACTAGTCAAAACTGTGACTAGGTAAATTAAAAAGTACCCCAAGTTAAGAAACAATTTTCTGTGTACTGTGGTAATTAGTAATGTTGACAATTTTAAAGGAAAGTTTGAAATGTAGAAGAGTTAGAAGCACAGCAGAAACATCCACTCATTATTTCACATAGTCAGTGTTTGAACATCTATGTGCTGACCATTTCATCAGTGCCAATGGCATACGGGTGACATAGAGGAGGCTTAGTGAGACATAGGAATTAACAATGGCCTTGGGGTTGGAGGTGTGGTTCAATTGGAAGAGCACTAGCCAATGAACAAAACCAGCTGGTACTGAGTTTGAGTTCTGGTCTTGGACCTAAACAAAAAAGGAATTAACAAGAGCTTAAGAAAAAAAGCGCAAGTCTAAACAGTGTTTCCACACAGAGAAGCAAGAACTGAAGGAGAGATCCATGTTAAGAAAGTACAGATAAGTTGGTAACTGCCTGGCAGTTTCCTTAGAAAATTTGCCCATTTTTTCCTTTGCCAGTGAAGGAACAATAGGGACAGTACAAAAAGAACACATGGTCAGAGATGAGCTCAGGATTTAACCTGATCGTTGAGGGTCTCATATGCTAATTGTAGAGTATTTTGGACATTACTAAGTCCGTAATTTGTAATGTTGAAGATTTTTAATTTATGGAGTCACATCATCAGTCACATTTTAAAAGAGAATCTGGCAGAAATGGTTGGAGACTGGATGAGAGAAATGAGATTGGAGGCAGAAGGTAGTAGTAGTAGTAGAGATTGTTATAGTTCTCAAAGAGAAGACTTGAATGAAGCTGAAACAAGGCAAAAAGAATTGGTAAGAAGGAGGTAGAATCTGTGACATTTTGTTCTTCAAGGCAATTGGGTTCTAGAAGAAATTATTCAGTACTTGAAGATACATTTAAATGTCGACATTTTAAGCTGTGGGATTAAATCCTATCTATTCAGAAGACTGCAGTTGAAAGCCAGCCCAGGCAGGAAAGTCCCTATGAGCCTCTTATCGCTAATTAGCCACTCAAAAACCAGAAGTGGATCTGTGGCTCAAAGTGGTAGAACACTAACTTTGAGCAATAGAGCTCAGGGACAGCACCCAGACCCTGAGTTTAAGCCCCATGACCTAAAATCAGTCAATCAATCAATCAACATTTTAGGTTTATTTGTGTATGCACACTATTGTATCTGTAACACTCCATGAGGTCATCTCTAGGAACTATAGTAAGTGACAAGTTAGATTGGAAATCTCTTTCAGCCAGTGACCCTGGCTCTTTTCAGTTTTAGAAATAGAATTCATTTATTCTCAGTTACCAAGATGAGAGCACAATAAAGTCTCTATATTATATACTTTGGTGACTTTCAGTAAAAGTATATGTAATTTCTTAAATTAACAAAATAGCATAAATAAGAGTGGTAAATCTTTTGATATAACCTTTGAATTCCTATAAAATACCTTCAGGTGAGCTGGGAAGGTGGCTCAGTGGTAGAGCGCTCACCTTGCATGCATGAGGCCTGGGTTCGATTCCTCAGTACCACATAAGCAGAAAGAAAAAAAAAAGCTGGAAGTGGCGCTGTGGCTCAAGTGGTAGAGTGCTAGCCTTGAGCTGAAGAGCTGAGGGACAGCGCCCAGGCCCATGATCGGACCCCCACCCCCCAAAAAAATAATGCCTTCAGGTATGAAGAAATTATTGTATACTTTCACTGATACAATTATAATTGGAAACTTTTAAACAGAAATTTTAAAAAGAAACCATTCTAACCATCGTCTCCTTTCTAGACATGAAAACTCCAAAAAACTAACAAAAATTTAGGAGCCTTTAATTCCATTGGCAAAGAACAAATATATCTAGCTCTAGTGAATTCTGTTGTTTTAGGATTTTATATTTGGATTTCCTTTATACTTAATAGAAAACCCAGGTTTTCTATTAAGAATTTTTTGTCTTTTAATGCATAGAATTGCCAATACAGTGCTTTAAAAAAAATAAAATGAATGTTCTTGGTGTTTTTCTTTTTTTTTCTTTTTTCTTTTGGGTCCGGTCATGGGGCCTGAACTCTGGGCCTGGGCGCTGTCCCTCAGCTCTTCAGTTCAAGGCTAGCGCTCTACCACTTGAACCACAGCGCCACTTCCAGCTTTTTTCTTTTTGCTTATGTGGTGCTGAGGAATTGAACCCAGGGCCTCATGCATGCAAGGCAAGCGCTATACCATTGAGCCACCTTCCCAGCCCCTTGGTGTTTTTTAATCTATAAAAATGATGAGGGTATCCGCTTTGGCAACACATATACTAAAATTGGAATGATACAGAGAAGTTAGCATGGCCCCTGAGCAAGGATGACACGTAAATTCATGAAACATTCCATATTTTTAAGACTTGGAAAAATTATATTAAATGAAGTAAGCCAGGCCCAAAGAAATATAGGTCCCATAGTTTCCCTTATTTGCAATAACTAGTATATGTCTGAGAAAACAGAAACTGTCAGACAAGTTGATGTTAGGCGAAATGAACCCCAAGATAAGATTCAAATGTTTTTTTCTTTTTTGCAATTGTTTTCAACATATTCATAAGATGATTTCTTTGTTGCTTTGTATGTATCTCCCCCAAGGTATAAGCCGTGCTTTCACTGTATTTGATGTTGATATAATTTGTGGAGGGGAAGGGAAAAAAACAAACTTTAAATAGGGATACAGGTGGACCTATTACAACAATGAGATGTACAAGATGTTATGTCAAAAAACAAACTTTACAACTTTGGTGGGGTAAGGGGGGTGAGAGGTGGAGGGGTGTGGGGGTGGGGGTGGAGAGGGGAAGGGATAGTATGGGGAAACAAAGGAGGAGGCTACAATGCTTGATAAGAAATGTACTCACTATCTTGCCCATGTAATTGTAACACCTCTGTATGGTCTTTTCACAATAATTTTTTAAAAAAATGATGGGGATTGACTAGGAAAAACTCATTTAAGCATGCATGATATATAATACACTTTATTTTTGTTCCTGTGTATTCCAGATCTTATACAAAGCCAAAGGAGAAGATGTGAAACATAAGTATACTCTGAGTCCTGATCTTCCACAATTTCTCCAGGCCAAGTGTAATGCTTACAATATAAGCGATGTAAGTAGGGTCTTCAATGTGTGGAAACAAATTGTGACAATAAAATAATCGAATTTTAGAATATGACAATTATTTTGTCAATACCTTGACCCATAGAGTATATCCCTTGATATGCTCTTTATCTCTAGAGTTAGCCCTTTTAGGGGTAGGATAGCTCCATGGGTTATAACACTCTTCTCTATCATGTATTTCTCCAAAACTTCTAGTTTATTTTCCATTTGGGAAAAGTTATTATCCGCTAGATATAGCCACCATGTCTTCTCTTGACCTTTCTTTCATAGACTAAACAGCTTAATTCTCTCCCATTGGTTCTCACTTAACCATGGTTTGCAGAAGTCTGCATTCACCCATCTTTCAGAATCCTCCTGAATATCCAGACCAGATCTAAGTGAATAACTAGTACAGTGTCCTATAGTTTGATGTGTCCAAAGTATTACACTGACCACAGGACTTTATTGGAAGAGCTTGTACAGCAAGGGATCCTATCAGCTGACATCTGGAAAAGATCAAACCAATTCCAGCAGTTTTAGAATCATGTTAACTGATTAATATACCACTGCTTATACATCCTTTGCTTTTTCATCCCAGGTCTGTTATAAACGGGACTGGCATGATTTAATTGCCAAGGGAAACAACGTGCTGGGTGATGCAATTCCCATTACTGCTGCCAAGGCATCAAGAAACATTGCCAGTGATGTAAGTTTAAAAAAAGTTAAATTTGAGTGATTGCCTTTTTAAAAATGGGATCAAAATCTATGCTTGTTTTAAATTGTTTCCTCATTGAAAGCAATATGCTGAGTTAATGACTTGAAAGTTCTCCACAAAATATTGTTTTGAAACCCTGTCACTTTTCCAACATTCTTGTTGTTCTTTTCGGTTGACCCCACTTGGTAGAGCTGTCATAAATTTGACAGTGGCTTTTGCTGTGATTCATAGCCCAAATTACCTTTGCTGCCACTACTCTCTAACAGCCCTCATTCATTTTTCATCAAAACACCTTGACTGACACTAACATGTTAAATTCAGATGACTGTCTGAATTACAATTATATTTTAAAAACTGAAAACATGATATAAATATACATAGTTTTGTGAAACAAATGGACAAGAAAACCATATAATTTTGATTCAGGTACCCATTTTATCTGTATTAAAAATAAACACATACACATTATCATCTTTGAAAAAGAAAATTTTCTAAAAGCACATATACCTTGCTGGGTTCCCCATCATCATACTCCTGGTCCAGGGGCTATACTCTTGGTTTGAGAAAAGAAAAGACACAAACCACAAGTAGAGCCCTCACAGGAAATATGGGGATATTGAGACTCCACAGTTTTTTGGTAGGGATGGTTAACAGTGCTGGAAACCTCCTTCTAGCTTAGATACAAAATAAAAGTTGATAGTATAACTTCAACTTTTTTTTAGCAATTGCATGGTGCTCCATCCCTCCCCTCCACCAACTGCTGCCCCACTGTAGTGGGCCTAGTAATTTATTGGATGATCTGCTCACATGCTAAATCCTGGTTTAAGAATCCAGGCAGAGGGCTGGGAAGGTGGCTCAGTGGTAGAGCGCTTGCCTTGCATGCATGAGGTACTAGGTTCGTATTCCCCAGCACCACATAAGCAAAGAGAAAAAAAGCTGGAAGTGGTGCTGTGGCTCAAGTGATAGAGTGCTAGCTTTGAGCTGAAGAGCTGAGAGACAGCGCCCAGGCCCAGAGTTCAGGCCCCACAACCAGACCCCCCCCAAAAAAAAAGAATCCAGGCAGAGCACAGTATTTGGGTAGATTTGAATTCTTTGGCATTTTTGTTTGACCTATTTCAGATAGCTCAATCTACTTCTCATTGCTATTCCCAGCTGTAAGGGATCTTGAACAGATTACAGTTTTCTGGCCAGAATTTTACTTATGAGAAAGCCTGTGGCAGTTCTGGACCTTGTTGTGGCTCCTTAATTCACTTCAAGCTGCCTCTTCCTGGAGCTTGAAGAGGAGCTGTAGATAAGTGGTATGGGGGAGACCAGCTACCTGCATAGGTGGTACTCAGATCTATGAAGTGAAATCATATATTGGATTAGGAAAATTCACATTCTTGAGAAGCCAGAAAATAGGTCCAACATTTGGAAGGGGACATGTTCATATGAAGTGTGAAATCTCAGTTGATTTAAAATACAGTTCTATACTTGTCACCTACAGAAGTCAAGACAAAGGGGAAAAAACCTGTTTCTTAATTTATCATTCAAGTATTCCCTTGAAGCCTCTACCAAGTTTGAAACAAATATTTTCATGCCAAATTTCCTGGATGAGGTGTATTTACTGTTTTTTTCAATACTTTTCCCAGAAAAATCACAATGTTCTGAGTGCCTTTTTGTGTGAATGTCATTGTTGCACCTAATGTTATCAGCACCCTAGAACTTTGCTAACTAAATTCTGTCTTTGCAGTATAAATACAAAGAAGCTTATGAGAAATCAAGGGGAAAGCATGTGGGTTTCAGAAGCCTCCAAGATGATCCTAAACTTGTCCACTATATGAATGTGGCAAAGCTGCAGTCGGATCGTGAATACAGGAAGAACTATGAGAACACTAAAACTAGCTACCATACCCCTGGGGATATGGTTAGCATTACAGCAGCAAAGATGGCCCAGGATGTAGCCACCAATGTCAACTACAAACAGCCCTTACATCATTACACCTACCTGCCTGATGCTATGAGCGTAGAACACACAAGGAATGCAAATCAGATTCAAAGTGATGTAAGTGTGTACCATGTAACAGAACTAGATGTGTTTGTTCTTAAAGGATGGTCATTGCTGTGCATTTTATTAGAATTCAGACGGCAGTAAAATATTAGAGAAAAGCACCTTAGAATAGGTAATGTGTGATAAAAACTACCAAAGTGCATGTTAGACTAGTGGTTTCTGCTGGCTTTCTGTACTTATATTGCCATCATTGACATTGCCTTTATTAACTTATGGACAAAAGATAAAGCCATATTCCTTAACTATGTAAGAAACTTTGATTCTCAGTCAGAGGTACTCTCGTGGGCCTCTATGAATAATAATAGTGGTTTAATATTAGTCAAAGAGAATTTTTTATGCTTCCTGAATTAGGGAAAGCTTACTTTGTTTATTAACCCACGTTCACCTGATCTTCTATGTAACTCTGTGTAATGAGTCATCTAAAATGAAATGAGAAGTCTTTGGGCTTCCCTCATGATTCATGGAGAGCCACACAGTGAGATGTTTAACATTCAGAATACTCTGTCTTCAGGAAACAGATTTCTGTAAGAAATTGTCCTCTGTAAAGGAAAGAAATGGTATTCATTTCTTGGTGCTCAAGAAAAATCTTTCTGTCTAGTTGAAATCAGGAATAGCTTATTTGGACAGTGTATGTGAAACTCAAAGTTTTGGAGTCTTCAGTGAAATCAAAAGGAAAGCTCAAATTGTCAAGAGATAGAACATTTTGAGCAGTACCCATAGAAATATATGACCCAGATTCCTGTCTGTGCTGTATGATAAATTCTAACAATAGAATTGCTTTTCCACATTATCCAGTTGCAGGTAATAAACTGTGTGACAGACAAGTCAGACAGGAACATAGGAACATAGGGAAATAATTGCTGTTCCCCTTGGATGGAATTACAGAAACTTCCTTGAATCAGACTTATGTAGGATACTTTCTCATAAGAGCTTATTACTCTCTTGCAGAACGTATATAAAGATGAGTACAACAGCTTCTTCAAGGGCATTGGATGGATCCCTATTGGCTCTCTGGAGGTTGAGAAAGTCAAGAAAGCAGGTGATGCATTAAATGAAAGGAAGTATCGACAGCACCCAGACACCATCAAGTTCACAAGTGTCCCTGATTCCATGGGCATGGTTTTGGCTCAACAGAACACAAAGCAGCTAAGTGATGTAAGTGGCTTGCTTCCCTTCAAAAGGATTTGCCCATGAATAACCAACCCTCAATGCCAAGCCTCTCCACCACCTTTCATAATTCAATATGTGAGGATGCATCCATGTTACCAAATAAACGGCTCTCAGGAATAAAAGAGAGATGGGTTTTACTTTTGAAGCAACATGGAATATGAATACAGGGAAAACAGGCAGGGGAAAAGTGATTTTTCTGAACTTGCTTTGTTTTGTAAATGCAGAGAATCTGTGCCATTCATAAGCAGACACCCCCGACTACCCACTATACACACGGAATGGCATTATTGTAATCATGTACAACTCTGTCTGAATTGCAAAACAAGCTATTTTATTGTTCTGGGTGACAATATTTTTACCCAGGTAAAAAGGCTTAATGTCTTAATCCCTTGCATAACAGCTCAATGTTCTGAGAGGCAATCTTAGAAGAAGGCCCCTGGGGAGGAGATAAGCAGTTTATTTGCAAGCACCTGAGTCTCATTTCTGAGTCCCAGACTCTCTTTATTTCATTCAGATTACAATGCTCAACCTATCATACCCTTTAGTAACTTCAGAGTTCTTCTAAAAGGCCTTCATGGAAAGAGATGGGTGAGCACAAAGCAAAGAAAGAAAGGGACATTTTGTTCGCTTGCTTTCTTTTAGTTCCAGATATTTATTGTTTATTTTTATTTTTGGCAAGGTAGCAAACACTTTCCTAGAATTGGATCACATTACTGCAGAGGAGTCATTCTATTTTCGTGGTCATAATGCTGTAGAGACTTTTGATTTCTTTTGTACTAAGGCAGGCATCGTTTCTCATTGTGTGTGTGTGTGTGTGTGTGTGTGTGTGTGTGTGTGTGTGTGTGTGTGTTTTCCTAGTTAGGAGAATTGTATACTCACTTTATTAAGTCTTCCCCATCCCAGTAAATACCAATTATAGCTAGACAGATGTAGTAACTCAAACCAAAAACTTGGTGGTCACCTTAACACCTCTATGTTTATACTCCTGCATCCAATACATCTGCCAGTCAGTGTCCCAAATAGCTCATCCAGCTTGCTGAAGTGCCAGTCCCCTCATCCCTGCTTCCTTATTTCTCATGTTGACAACTGCAATGACCTGGTGTCTGTATTCCCTAACTGTGGTCTCAAGCAATCAGGTTATATCTTAAAGCATAAACCACATTCTAATGGACAACCTCTTAGGAACTTCTGCTTAAACTGAATATCCCTACTCTTTAACTTGTCTGCAAAGACCCTTCAATCCATGCTCTGCTCCTCTTAACTGTCCACATTCAAGCCCCCAGTCTCGGGCTACTATTAGTTCCTTAGGTTGGCCAGGCCATTTTCAGCCACTGGGCCCTGCAAATGTTGTGCTTCTTCGGCAAACTCTCCCTTTTCTCTTAAGTTTGACCATAGTGCTGCTTCTACAGAGGCCTTTATGATTTTTCTTCTATGTTCACTCTATTTATAACACATCATAAAACTTAGCTATAGTTCATAGTTTACTGTATATCTGTTTCCTCTGCTAGACTGGAATTTCAAGAGGACAAATCAGTCTTTCTCAAAAAGCACTTTTTAAAAAAAAAAAAAAAGCACTTTAAACATAGCCTGCCACTCAGCCTGGCGCACACAATCCAATGACTATTAGGGGCTTGGGGACATGAATTTATCTACCCTGAGCCCCTTCCTGTAACAGAATAGGCATTCATTCACCTTGTATGGGAAATACAAGCAATAGCCTTTCTTTTTAAAAAGAGTGAGTGAAGTTCATACTAAGTCAGCTAATGGTGTTTTCACGCTTTCTCCTTGTTTGCAGTTGAACTACAAAGTGGAGGGGGAGAAACTGAAGCACAAGTACACCATCGACCCTGAACTGCCTCAGTTTATTCAAGCTAAGGTCAACGCCCTCAACATGAGTGATGTGAGTATTTGGCTTGGTGCCAGTCTAAGATAGCTTATGCATCTTGCCTGTTCTGGTAACTCTTGCATTAAGTAGTTCAAGGCGAGGAAACCTGAGTCCACAGATGGGACTCTTACCATGCAATCTAAGAATAGCAGCCACCATAAAATTTTACTTAGACCTTAATAACTCATTAGTGGGTGGTAAAATGAGCCTAGAAAATAGTACCTCACAAAATGAGATGGATGAACTGGAAAACACAAAACGACATAGTCTGTATTAAGTGTAAATATGGGATTGTGTAACTTTTGTTTTAACTATTATTACTTCCAAGAATCTGACTTTCTTCAAAAAAGTTTTTGAAACAATGTAATTGGCCATCTTGGAAAGCCTTGGCACCTAAGTAGAGATGACGTTTAAATCCATTATATGAAACTGGTCATGGTGGTGCACATTTGTAGTCTGAGCTGCTCAGAAGGCTGAGGTGGGAAGAATGTGAGGTCAAACCCAGAATGAAAAACATTGTTGTCTCAAAAATAGATAAATGAATGTGTTGTTTCTTTTTAAAAATGTCAGTGAACTGGTTTAAAGACCCAATCAAACCTGGATAAGTGGTCTTATTTAAATGGCTTAATGTTTTCTTTTTTGTCGGTCGTGGGGCCTGAACTCTGGGCCTGGGTGCTGTCCCTCAGCTCTTCAGCTCAAGGCGAGTGCTCTACCACTTGAGCCACAGTGCCATTTCCAGTTTTCTAGTGGTTTATTGGAGATAAGAGTCTCACAGACTTTCCTGCCCAGACTGGCTTTGAACCATGATCCTCAGATCTCAGCCTCCTGAGTAGCTAGGATTATACGTGTGAGCCACCGGTGCCCGGCAGTTTTTTCTTATTTTTAAGCTCTGTGTTGTCTCAAATATACATTTTTTGTCTTTTATCCATTTAAATTTTTTCCTTAATTTTATATGTAATAATCATTAAAATCAAGTGAAAGTGAGTAAACACTAGATCTGCATATTTTATTTTTATTGCCATATTGTCTATAAGTTTGAAATGTTTTATGCTTATTTTTCCAAAAGTATTATAGGAAAGTTAGAAAATTATGAAAAAATAAATTAAAATCTTTTGTTTTTCCACATTGTTTTGTTAGACAAATGTATAACTTTTGAAGTCAGTTGAGGTGATAGTGTAATAATTGACTTTTGGGGATGGAGTAGGATTGTCTTTCTTTTTGTCCTGTTCTTGATTTTTGTTTGGTTGGGCATTTGGGGACTGAGTCTCACAAGGTAGCACAGGATGGCCATGAATTCATGATCTTCCTGCCTCAGCCCCTTGACTTCTGAGATTACAGGTGTCCAACAATACACCCTTTTCCTGTGTTGAGTTTTATTATTATTTTTTTGGTCCTGGGGCTTAAACTCTGGGCCTAGGTGCTTTCTCTGGGCTCCTTTTGCCCAAGGCTAGCCCTCTACCACTTGAGCCACACTGACATTTCTGGCTTTTTATGTCATTAATTGGAAATCAGCATCTCATGGACTTTCCTACCTGGGCTGGCTTCAAATCATGATCCTCAGCTCTTAGCCTCCTGAGTATAGGATTATAGGTGTGAGCCACTGGTACCTGCTCTAATATTTTCATTAAAGAATCTGATACATATGTATAAGATGAACTAATATCTTTGCTATGAATTCCTCTTAAAGAAACACTGTGATACCCTGTTGCATTCTTCTTCTAACAATGTCAAATACTGAAATGATATTCCCTTTATTTGAAGGCTCATTATAAAGCAGACTGGAAGAAGACCCTGGCTAAGGGCTATGACCTGAGGCCAGATGCCATTCCCATTGTTGCGGCAAAGAGTTCAAGAAATATTGCCAGTGATGTAAGTCTAACTACAAAGCAACAAACATCTATTTTGAAAGTCTGTACGTTGTGTATGAAACCATGAAGTATAAAGAAGTAAACAAAATATATGAAAATATTTTCTAATTTCCTAAAGTGCCACTGGTAAATATAGCTTCATTTAATTTTTGTGGTGCTGAGGAATAAACCCAGGGCCTTTCACGTGCTAGGCAAGCAGTGCATTACTGCCACAGCCCTAACTACTTAAAATTTCTTTAAAAACACAGTGACTTTGACCTCTAGCATTTGCAGAAAAAGAAACAACTCAGTAAACTGTTTCAAAAGAATGCTCTTGAATTTAGGTTTTCATACATTTTTTTGGTCAGTTGTAGGACTTGAATTCAGGGTCTGAGTGCTATCCTTGAGCTCTTCTCCTCACGGCTACCCTTCTACCATTTGAGCCACAACTCCGCTTCCAGTTTTCTTGTGGTTAACTGGAGATAAGAGTCTCATGGACTTTCTTACCTGGGCTGGTTTCAAACCACAATCCTCAGATCTAAGCCTCCTGAGTAGGATTCCAGGTGTGAGCCATCAGTGCCCAGCTTCAGAAATATTTTGATATAATAACATATAATTAAATAAAAAATATATCCAAATAGATATTTTATACTGTTTTAATATATATTGTAATTTTTACAAAGAGAAGCTAGGAAAAATTATAGGCTGAATAACAAAATATTACATTTTTACAGGTTACCTTATGTTTTTTACAGTGTTATATGCCTTCTGAAAGTGCAAGTTCGCTAATTTAAGTTCACTACTTTAATTTGTATTAGAGTCTTGCTGAAAGTTACGACTTGGAAATGTCTTTATCAGATAATTCAGAATAATAATGTAAACAAGGTAAAAATACACAACTTTAAGAAAACTGAACATATTCAAAGATTCTACTTACAACAATCTTGATATAAAGTTCAGGACAGGTTTCAAGGTTAGAAACATTTCGCTAGTTGTTTGTTTTAAACTACTAAAACAAAGAGGTTCACTGTTACTTAATTCCAACTGTATTTGGCTTTTACTTAGTTTGTTGTATAAATTCAATTCACATCAAGCATCTCCCCTCTCTAATCTTTTCTTTGAACTAGTGCAAATACAAGGAGGCCTATGAGAAAGCCAAAGGGAAGCAAATTGGATTTCTCAGCCTTCAAGATGATCCTAAACTTGTCCACTACATGAATGTGGCCAAAATACAGTCAGATCGTGAGTACAAGAAAGGTTATGAAGCCAGCAAGACCAGGTACCACACACCGTTGGATATGTTCAGTGTGACTGCTGCTAAGAAATCTCAGGAGGTTGCTACCAACACCAACTATAGACAAGCATACCACAACTACACCCTCCTACCTGATGCCTTGAATGTGGAGCACAACAGGAATGCCATGCAAATTCAGAGTGATGTACGTACTGGTTAGCAGCTGACAGCACACTGCATTTCCTATTTCCATGCGTGGTAGAGAAAATTCCAGAGCCACTTACTCCATTTTAAACCTGGTTCAACTTGCTCTTCTCTCTCTTTTTTCTTTGGGGGGGGTGGTCCGGTCGTGGGGCCTGAACTCTGGGCCTGGGCTCTGTCCCTCAGCTCTTCAGCTCAAGGCTAGCACTCTACCACTTGAGCCACAGCACCACTCCCAGCTTTTTTTTTCTTATGTGGTACTGAGGAATCGAATCCAGGGCCTTGAGCATGCAAGGCAAGTGCTCTACCACTGAGCCACCTTCCCAGCCCCATCAACTTGCTCTTCTCTCTAGGGAACTCCTATAGATTTTGAAATTTTATAATTTGACTCATTTGAACTACTTATAGCTTTCTTGTCATTTGTGAGTTTATTTTTTCCTCACTGGTGTCCTTAAACCTATTTATCCCCAAATACCAATGGTTTACTGTATATATCTTTGGCTCTTAGCTCCAACATATGATCTATGAAAAACTTAAGAGGCTCAAATGGGTGACACATAATATTGTTCCTAAGGCAAAATCATGTTAACCTTTCATTTCTTCAAGGAAGTTGACATCTGTGAGATAGGTTCTAGCTATAGACTGACCTGGAACTTACAATCCTGCCTCCGACTTCTGAGTGCTGAAATTATGGGTGTGATTCACTATGCTTTGTTAAGAAAGTTAATTTTTTAAGGAATTGTTACATTCAAATTTTCAGTTCAATGCTTCCATGAATATAATCATTTTTGTAAGTGATTTTGCCATGGAAAATAAAAATTACGAATTCTCTCCTTCTTCTTCCCTCTTTTCCTTTTTGATAATGAGTAAATTGTGTAGGCCAAGAAACTCTTGGCTCTTACTGAAATGAAAATTTTCTCCTTCTTTATTAAGAATCTCTACAAATCTGACTTCACCCACTGGATGAAAGGGATTGGCTGGGTCCCAATTGACTCCCTGGAGGTAGAAAAGGCAAAGAAAGCGGGAGAGATTCTCAGTGAGAAGAAGTATCGCCAGCATCCTGAGAAGCTCAAGTTCACATACTCTATGGACACAATGGAACAGGCGCTGAACAAAAGCAACAAAATCACTATGGACAAGGTAGGAGCCCATCTGCTTCATCAGCCACGGACCCTTGAAGCACTCATGATGTAGGCCCTGGAAACTTCTTCAGCAGCTTTATCTTCTATGATGATGATTGTGGTGATGGTTGTAGGCAGGGATGCTAATGCTTCCCTTGTTTCTACAGCTCACACCATCTTGATATCATATTAAAACCTCAGGACTGTTAAACTCAAAATTAGTTTAAGATACGGGCAAGATGGCATCTGTTGCTTCAGGCAAAGAGGGCTCCCATACTTGACAACTGATTGGTTTTCTTATTGAGGATCTGGTTTCCTCAGCTTTTCTTCTGTTTCATCCATTTCCCACTCCAATTGAACCATGATGGAGATGCGAATCTCTTCCTCCTGCTAGCATTGCCAGAAACCTGTTCTGCTGTAAAATCATGTACTTTACCTCCCTTTTGCAGAGGCTCTACACTGAAAAGTGGAACAAAGACAAGACCACCATTCATGTCATGCCTGACACTCCAGATATCTTACTCTCCAAAGTAAACCAAATCACCATGAGTGATGTAAGTAGATAAACAACACAAAAAAGTGGGGTTTTTTGTTGGTTTTTTTTGGAGGGGAAGAAGGCTGACCATTTTGAAACCCCAAACTCTAAACTAATAACAAGGTGGTGGTGTTTTTCTGTTCCATCATTTAGAAACTATACAAAGCAGGCTGGGAAGAAGAAAAGAAGAAAGGCTATGACTTGAGGCCTGATGCTCTGTCCATAAAGGCGGCAAAGGCTTCTCGGGACATTGCCAGTGATGTAAGTCTTCCCCTGGCTGTCTTTAGCCAAGCAAAGGAGGGTAAATGAGAAACCCTTGTGTGTATTCAGGAACTTGGCTCAACTCTACTCAGTGTTTGTGGTAACACCATCCTGGATCACCTAATCTAAGCATCCTCACCTTTGCCTAATCCAAGCATCCTCTAACCATTGTTCATTCTGTAGTGTAAAAAGCAACTGAATCATGTATTTTTTAAAAAAAATAATAAGCTGCTTTTAGACTAATTTTCAGCCTCATGCCTGATTTTAGAGTTCGAATCCTTTTGCCTACCACAAAGCTCATGGTACCCAATGAATGAGATTTTTGTTCTCCTTTCTTCACCATTCCCATTGTTGTGTTTCCTTTTCTGTCCACAGTACAAATACAAGAAAGCCTATGAGCAATCCAAAGGCAAACATATTGGCTTCCGGAGCCTAGAAGATGATCCCAAGTTGGTGCACTTCATGCAAGTAGCGAAGATACAGTCAGACCGGGAATATAAGAAGGGCTATGAGAAATCCAAGACCTCCTTCCACACCCCAGTGGACATGTTCAGTGTAGTGGCCGCCAAGAAATCTCAGGAAGTGGCCACCAATGCCAACTATAGGAACATAATCCATACCTACAACATGCTACCTGATGCCATGGGCTTTGAATTGGCCAAAAATATGATGCAGATTCAAAGTGATGTACGTAAAAGCCACAATAATTACAGGGCATTTGTTTTAGAAAATAAGTAATGATTGACTAGAAATCACAACATCCTGAAAATCCTGAAAGAAATTTGTGTGCAATTTCCTGAGGTGTTTCATGTCTTACCTAAGAGTGAGTATATATCTTTTAACAAGAGATCTAATCAGGAAAGCAGTCTTTCTTTCTACTCTTGTTGCTACAATGCTGTTGGATTTGGCATCCAACAAAGATAGCAAATCAGACACAGTTTCAGAATGAATGTACAGAAAGAAGGAGCCTAGCAAAGAAGATCAAATGCATGAAAGACTCCTGATAGATGAATCAAAGGAAATTCAGCTGAAGAAGCCATTGGTAACTGGAAAAAGTGAATTTAACTTGAAATCTAAAAGGAGACCACATTAAACCAAGCCTAGATCTCTCTTTGGGGATGCCAAGGCGGTATATCAATGCATAAATGATGGTAGTTATAGGGAGAACTTTCAGATCTGAGCAGGGGAAGTCAACAAAATTTGCCTCAGTACAGTTCCATTGTGGTTTCGTGTGTGACTTAGAGAAATTGTAACAGTAGTAGGCAATCAGAGACTCATATGCTAAAGAGAAAAATGAGACTTATAGAAGTCTTCCATTGCTGGGTACCAGAGGTTCACACCTGTAACCCTAGCTACTCAGTAGGATGAAATCTGAAGATTGTCGGTTGAAAAACAGAAGTGGAAGTTATAGAATATTAGTAACATACTTGTTGGGAAGTTTTGAATTCTCATCACTGAATTTTTTCCCCTCTTCTCCAGAATCAGTACAAAGCGGACTATGCTGACTTCATGAAGGGCATTGGTTGGCTCCCTCTTGGCTCCCTAGAAGCTGAGAAAAACAAGAAAGCTATGGAGATTATTAGTGAAAAGAAGTACCGCCAGCACCCAGACACTTTGAAATATTCAACATTGATGGACTCAATGAACATGGTTTTGGCCCAGAATAATGCGAAAATTATGAATGATGTAAGTCTTTTTCTTTTCTCTTTTTAAATATATATTTTTATTGTAAAGATACTGTACAGAGGGGTTACAATTACATGAGCAAGGTAATGAGTCCATTTCCTATCGAGCATTGCTATTCCCTCCTTTGTTTTTCCCCTACCATTCCTTTCCTCCCCACCTCCCCAACTCCTCCCTCCCCCACCCCTGCAAAGTTGTCTTGTACATCTCATTGTTACAGTGGGTCATCCTGTATCCTGTTTCAGCATTTTGTTATTTCCCTTCCCCTCCCCAAATTAGAAAAATATATATACAAGATGCAGGGCACGGGAATCAAATACAGTGACAACAGGGGTTGTTCCATGGGTGAAGAACATACAAAGAAACAAAAAAAATCACATAGTACATTATAAATATATTAAAAAGAACAGCAACAAAGATAAAACCTCTTGTGTCCCTGTCTTGGGGTTCATTTCTCTTAGCACCAGGTTATATGGTCATATGTATGTAGCTTTTGACCTCTTCTGCTTGTCCTAGACTTATACTAGTTATTACAAATAAGGAAAACCATGGGACCTTTGTTTCTTTGGATCTGGCTTAATTCACTTAATGTAATTTTCTCCAAGATTTTCCATTTCCTAACAAATGGGGTGGTGTGAATGGCATAAGTCTTTTCATAATACAGTGTTAATGATCAGACAAGATGCTGGTATTTAATCTACAGGTTTTGCTAACATAGTTGCAAGGGTTCACATTTAAGGCTTCCTTTAAAATAAAGAATAGAAATTATACTCAATTAGAGGCTCCAACTGTTAAGTCACTGATAAAAGAAAATAAATAGAAACCCTTTTTTTAACCCTTTATTTAACCCTTTATTTAGCCATCTTGAAATCTCTTTGGCTATGTTAAGGTTGAGTAGGAGCTAGTACAGCTGTGCCAGTGGGCCTGTACTTTCTGCTCTTCTACTCAAAAGTTCGCCAACATCTGGTTGAAGAGAAGAATCTTTTTGTTTTACTTAAGCCGAGCTAAAGCAGAGAATTTTTCTTCTACCATAAAATACTTTAAAATTATGTATTCATAATGCCAGCAAGGGAGTTTATATTGCAAAATTTAAATAGATTGTGAATGTTTGTAAAAATGAAAAATTTAGGTATTCATGCTCCTATAGAAATCTTAATGTACAAACATACACATAATACAATAATGTTTCCGAAGGATAGAGTTCTGAGAGCAGATGCCGAAAGAGAATTTGGCATAGGCTTTTTCTTTTTAGGAATAGTACTCATGGAAATAGTTCTCATAAGAAATCCTTGGCCAATGCCACGCAAAGCCTCTTGAGTATCACCTATTAGAGTACACCATATTACGCTGGATTGGACAAGCTTATATATCCCCACTATGATGAGTCATAGATGTGGGAAGGCCATGTTCTTGGATGAGGCAGCATACTCCAAAAGAGGTGATGAGAATCTGTGTGCCAACAGCTGGGTCAGCAGATCCTTTCTGAGCTGACTATATGGGTAGCACATTGCCTGACCCACCAGGAAGACCATGGCATTGTTGCTTGAGATAGGAAAAGATTGGAAACCATGAATAAATGTACATCAGTGGAAAACTGGTTAAATAAATTGGGTTATACCTCATGACAAAATACTATGTAGTGTTTTTAAAGAATGAATTAAAGTATTTTCAAAATAAATGTCTAACCTATATTATTCAGTGCAAAAGCAAGATGAGAACATTACATATTATATGGCTTTACTTATATTTTAAAGGGATAGCTGTGCTATAATATACCTAGAAGACTTTAGGAAGAGATATCATCTCCAAACTTAAGGAGACAGGGCACATTTTCTGTCTTATATCTTCCCCATTATATTGTTGAAGAAGATCTTTTTCACTAAAAATAAATTTTTATACCAGTCTTGGGACTTGAACTCAAGGCCTGGGCACTATCCCTGAGTTTTTGTATTCAAGGATAGCTCTCTACCATTGTGAGCCACAGCTCCACTTCTGACTTTTTGGTGGTTAATTGGAGAAAAGAATTTCATGAGGGAAAAAGAAAAGAAAAAAAATATCTCACAGGGAAATTGGGGAAAAGCAAAGGAAGGGGAGATTTTGTCCAAAAAGAAATTTACTCATTACCTGACCCCTCTGTACAATACTTTAATAACAATAAAAATTACATTAGAAAAACCCATGTGCCATATTATGCCTCAAAAAATAAAAATCTCACAGACTTTCCTGTTGAGGATGGCTTCAAACTATGATTTTTGCATCTCAGCCTCCTGAGTAGCTAGGATTATAGGTGTGAGCTACCAGCACCTGGCTAAAAATAAATATATACAGCTATATAATTAGTTATGAATAATAAGATAATATAATAATATTATCATATAATAGAAATAGATGATACATATATACTAAATGAACTCTTACTAAGATTTTAAATATTTCTTTATTTTTTGTCCCCAGCACCTCTATAAACAAGCATGGGAAGCTGACAAGACCAAAATCCACATCATGCCTGATATCCCCCAGATTATTTTGGCCAAAGCAAATGCAATTAATATGAGTGATGTAAGTATAATTCCTTCCTTTGAACCAGTAAAAGAAAACAAGCTCATCAATGCTTCTCTGTTTTTAAAGATGCTAATGGAAGTCCACAGATGAGAAATTTCCCATTCTAATTTTATTCTGACCACATTTGGAGTAGGTGAGAGAAGCAGTTAGGAGTTTGCAGGGTGCCTGGGTTTTGTTCCTAGCAAACATCCATCAAAGCACAAGATTTAGAAGTAAATAATACGGCTTGGGGCAAGAAATGCGAGTCCCAGGATTTCATTCTTAGGGAGCCCCATCACCAAGCTTTTGGGTGGTCTTAAACCAGAGATTTAAATGGAAAGGAAAATAAAGAAATCAAGGTGACCCTACCACAAGGAGTGTGAAACACTTGAAAGAAAATGCACTGACGTTTTATTTCATTTCCTTTCTCAGCCTGGTCATAGTTGCTAGAAATTTCTCTGCTAGGCATTTTTCTTTTCTTTGAATTCCGCAAAGATTTGGAAATCCACATAATTTTATAAATGAAAGACTTGATGGTAAAGACCTGTTTGTTTTTTTGAAGATAGCTTTTTTATAGTCTTTTAATTATAAAATACATCCTCTTTGATGTTTATATGTAAAAGGAGACTAGTACTATTTATGGTTCTGAAAATTATGTTTGAATGTAAGCATTTTGTCCCCCATATGACTTTTCTTTATAAGGTCACTCAGCCATTAAACAACCAATGAAACCTCTAGCTCAAATAAAAAAGATGCCACAGAACTAACTTGTTGTTCGAGAATAATTCAGACTTCCCTATTTAAAAGAAAATTATTGATATTTTTGTTTCTCTTTACAGAAAATGTACAAACTTTCTTTGGAAGAGTCTAAAAAGAAAGGCTATGATCTCAGAACAGATGCAATTCCTATCAAAGCTGCGAAGGCTTCCCGGGATATTGCAAGTGATGTAAGTATAAAACAAGATGGTCATCTGGCTGGGGTTTTCAATCAACCAAAATAACAAGGGAAACATCCACAAGATAAAATAGGAAAAACACACGTGCCTGCTAACAATAGACTCATTGTGGTCTGAATTCCTCTTAGCTCAGATCATTTGTTTTCTCTGGCATTTCTGAAATATAAAACACAAACCATATTACAACTCTCCTAGATATCAGCTCCCACTTCAAGAGATGTAGGTGAATTCATTTTGCATTCTCTCACCAAAGCATAGCGAATAGAAATCCAAAGCCCTTACCAAGTTTTCATGGAGGAAAGGCTGGTGGTGGTCTTGCTTTCTCCATTTTAGGATCTGACTTCCCAACAGTGTACCTTGTGGAGTGTTGTGCTAGGAGTGCTGATTATTGGGCTAATGATCTGATTTTCATGGAAAGATGTACAGACTGGTTGGTAGCTTGATGTCATCTGTGGAGGGAGAATTTACACCATAGAAACTGGCAAATACTATACAACCCCCAGGAAGCTGATGAACCAACATGGTACTATCATAACACATTTCATTTTATGAAATACATTTCACTCCTCAAAAAATCTACTCCCAGGGATGACGCAGTAACTTGGGAGTGAAAGGTGGATCACATCTTAAAGTATTCTTTCCTGGTCACCTTCCAAGTTGTACTTGGTCTCTCTTCTCCCCTCTGATCTTCATCTTTATGACCTAACCAGCATATTCCTCACCCATTGTCATGAGAGTCACAAGTTCTTTTCTCTCCATTACACTCAAGTTATTCCACTTTCCTGGCTTCTACTCTATAACTTGTAGCCTCCACTTCATGAGGAGTCAGGCAGAATAAGAATCTCTCCATGTATCACAATATCCTCTCCATAAAAGTTAGGGTGGTAAGTAGGACAATTTCTTACCCATTATACAAGTTTAAAGAGTCTTGAAAGGAATGCCACAAATATAAAGCTACTATATAATTAAACTGTACATTTCATAATTGAACCTGTTCTCATCAAGAAATGACTACTGGTTGGTTTATCAGGGCAACATCAAGCTGCTTAAAACACCTTGCTTTTTGTCTTGTGGTATTCTTATTCTTGTAACACCAAATCATGTATAAGTCAGTATGGTATAGTGTCTCCACAAGTTATCTCAGCAAGTCATTCACCTCTCTGGTTTCAGCATATAATCATATATAAAATGGGGCTGTAATGAGAACTCTGTAGTTGTGAGAATTAAGTTATATAGGTAAATGTCAGAAATTTATGATTTGAGAGGGCTATATGAGTATCTATTTTATGAAATAGAATGTTGATACTAGAATGATAATCAGCCAAGAGACTTGTTCTTCATGTACATCCATATTTTCTTCACAGTATAAATATAAGTATAATTATGAAAAGGAGAAGGGGAAAATGGTTGGTTTCCGCAGTCTGGAAGATGATCCTAAATTGGTCCACTCCATGCAAGTAGCCAAGATGCAGTCTGATCGAGAGTACAAGAAAAACTATGAGAAGACAAAGACTAGTTACCACACCTCTCCTGACATGCTGAGTGTCACAGCTGCCAAGGATGCCCAAGCCAACATCACCAACACTAACTACAAGCGCCTGATTCACAAGTACATCCTCCTTCCAGATGCCATGAACATCGAGCTGACCAGGAATATGAATCGCATACAGAGTGACGTAAGGCTGCTCTTCTAGTGGGGTGATGCTTGGATCTCTAGCATGAGGAAGCCAATACTTTTGTAGCATACTTTTGTGTGTAAATTGATAGTTTGTCTCTTCTTTTTATAGAATGAATATAAGCAGGACTATAATGAATGGTACAAAGGGCTTGGCTGGAGCCCAGCTGGTTCTTTAGAAGTGGAGAAGGCCAAGAAAGCAACAGAATATGCCAGTGATCAGAAATACCGTCAGCACCCTAGTACCTTCCAGTTTAAGAAGTTGACTGATTCCATGGATATGGTGCTAGCCAAGCAGAATGCACATACCATGAACAAGGTAGGAAGAACTGTTGCTTTTCTACAGCAGTCCCAAGTAAGGAAAGGCTAAAAGGCCCTGGTTCTTGTTTGGAAACTGAACTCCACTCCACCACTTCCAGGCAGTGGTGAATCATTTAAGAGCATTGTCCTGTGCTATTTTCCAGGGTCCATCTCTAGGGTCCATCTCTAGTATGGCCTTCCTTTGCCCTTCTAATTGGGTGAGAAACTACTTATATTTCTTACAATGAGGTGTTTCTGAGAATGAGATATCCATTCTTAAAATGAAATATCATAAAATTGCATGAGGAAGTAAAAAGGGGAGTAAAAGAAAGTGATAGCAGGTATTATTGATTGGAATACATTGTATGCTGAGTGGAAATGCCACAGCAAAATCCCCCTTTGATAGCAAATGTATGCTGACAAAAATTAATTTTTTAAAGTTTCATTTTTACGTACTCAACTTTAGCATCTCTTTTATTAAATTTATTTTTTGTGAAGACTTATACAAAGGGGTTTCAGTTGAACATGTTGATTTATGAGTACCATGCATTCCGCCATTCTTCTTCCTTTACTCTGAGAATCTAAGAAATAATATCTTAAGTACTTTCATCTACATATAAATGATGGAAAGTATCTTAAATATTATTTTTTAATCTGTGCTTAAAGCTGGACACGTGGCATATGCCTGTAATCCCGCATTCAGGAGGCAGATGCAACACAAAGGCTGACCTCAAACAAGGTCTCTTCTGAGTCATATGTTCTTTTCGTTATTTACTACTTTCAGTGAAGTGCATTTAAGTACTCTGTATTTTCTGTTTTGCCTACACAGCTATTCACATTTCAAATATCTTTCCTCTCCCTCCACCACTTCCTAGCATTTATATACCATTGATTGGAATAAAGATAAAACCAAGATTCATGTGATGCCTGATACACCTGATATTTTGCAAGCAAAGCAGAATCAAACACTCTATAGTCAGGTAAAAGTACATACACATGGTTTTACATTTTGTTTTAAAACTTGTGAATTTATAATGTGCTTAGTTAGAAAGAGTGATGTAAACATAAGACAATGGGAAGGGGTGACTCTGATTAACCCGGGGAGGCTGCCCGAGAGAGTTAAGAGCCAGGGCTCCAGCTCCAGCTGTGTGCACCAGTGAGGCAGTAGCTGTTTTGTTTATCTCTGTGTTTGTATGAAATAGGAAATAAATAACTAATTGCTGAAACAAAAAACATTGGCTCTAGCAGAACTGATAGGAGTTTTGGCTTTGGCATTGTTGAGTCACTTGATATTAATTAAATCACCTACCAGCTAAACCTCAGGTCCTTATTCCTAAAATTAGGACCATAAAAGTGCTATCACATTAAATTGCCACAAGAAGCAAATGAGAAATTCTGTGTAAGGCTCTAAGCAAAGCTCATCAGAAAGTATTAGACTATTTGCTACTTTTTATTTAGATGACTATTTGCTACTAGTTACTACTTTTATTGCTAAGATTTTAACAGACATAAATCCATTCAATGGATTTGACTCAGAAAGACTAACACAATTATTGTAATGTATAAAAGGTAACTATTACTTTTATCATTAAGTATTTAGAATGCTGTGGTTTTCTTGTCATTTTTATTATCTTAGTATTAGTGTTTAAAACAAGTGACTGTAGGAGCCAAAATGAAAAACAGAAACAGAGCCACATCAGATGATGCTATCAGTCTGTCAAACAGCCATCTTTAGACATGAGGTAGATTAGGTTAGAATTTGATTAACACTCTATGTAAGCTTGTGCTTAATAATCTACTTTTAATATAGAAAAAATAATGCTAAAAAGTTTTTAATTTTCAGAAACTCTATAAACTTGGATGGGAGGAAGCACTGAAGAAAGGCTATGATCTCCCGGTGGATGCCATTTCTGTACAGCTGGCAAAGTCTTCAAGAGACATTGCTAGTGATGTAAGTACCAGTGTGACTTCCGTAAGGATATGTTTATCTCCATCAAGTGACTAAATGGTGGTAACTATTTTTATAGAAAGTCTTAGTTTTCAAAATGCAACATTGCTCCCTTCATCTTAACTTACCTTCAGTTTTACCCAAAATTCACTCTTCTTTATCAGTGTTCAAATATCAGTAGGTGCTTCTTGATTATAGGTTGGTCAGAGGTCCTCAAAGATCCATTACACTAAGATGTTGTTTTGAGATACTATAAAGGAACTAAAGATTTCAGATTTTTCCTACTTAGCTTGAAATTAATTTTTGTGTTTCCGACTAGGCTATTTTTTAAAAAATAAATTCCAAGTACCCACTAATAAATCAACCTCAAACATCCAATAATAATTCCTTTCTATATGTACATATTTAAAAACTAATTACCAATTATTTATATTTAGGCCATTTACTTACTAATGTAATTATAAGAAATTAGCATGGAAAATCCTAAAAAGTTCAGGAACTTATATTTATGATACAATTGAACACCTGTTCTAAAATTCATAGAAAAAGGTCACTTGCAGCACAAAAGACTTGTAGTTATAATTAGAAATGGTGCACATTTGCCAAATATACTAGATAAGGTCTCTATTAATAAATGAATTTTTATATACTAAGGTAAAATGTATTTATACTAACAGTTCATGTTAGTTATTAAATTTCATAGGGCAACACAACTTTTTTGTTTTGTTTTTTGTCAGTCATCGGTCTTGAACTCAGGGCCTGGCCACTGTTCATGAGTTTTTTTGTTGTTGTTTTGTGGTTCTTTGGCTCAAGGCTAGCACTCTATCACTTGAGCTACAGCTCCACCTTCAGCTTTTTGTTGTTGTTGTTGTTATTAGTTAATAGGAGTAAGAGGCTGGCTTCAAATTGGGATCCTCAGATCTGAGCTTCCTGAGTAGCTAGGATTACAGGCATGAATTATCAGTGCCTGGCTGAGAAACACAACTTCTTAATCAAAATCTATAAAACAAAAGAATGACTTGATTCCATAGGTCAGTTAAAGTAGAGTGCAAAAAGAATCTCTAAAAGACAGAATCTGACACCAAATTCCAAGAATATTAAAGAAGATTCTAGCTAATTCAAGGGTGGCATTCAGAAGCTCTGCGAAATGTATTATTATTACCCACGTCTAGCTTACAGGTCAACACCTCATTAAAATGAGTCACTATAATGATGATCCTAAAATGATACTGATGTTTGAATGCTCCACAGAAATTCAACTCATTTCATTAAAATTATGTGCTAAAGATAGCTTAGGAATTAAAAAAAAACATTAGTATTTCAGAACAATCTACCATTTGATAAAACCTAATTTCTTTTCTGTGAACTCATTACTTAGAATCTTTAGCAATCTTATACTAAAATGAACTAGTAGTGAACTTTTCCACCACTGTAGAAATTATATTTCTTGAGACTCAAATAATTCATATATATATATATATATATATATATTCAGCAAATTAGAGCTCATTTTGAGTGTGTACTTTAATAAATTAGAAGAATAGAAATTAGAAGATAACAGTTTAATCCAACCTACCAATCAACATTTTACCTTGTCTCCACATCCAACAGCCTCTGGATGTGTAGATAGTTGCTAACTTCAGGATCCTTCAGGACAGGTCACATCCTTCTTGGAACATCTTTGTCATTATACATTTCCTTATTCAAACTTAGATATTTTATCAATCAACTCTAAGTCTCTGTTCTAGAATATCACAAGCCTAGTTCATTTCCTCTTACTTGTGATAATCTCTTCAAACATTCTATGTCTCTTTGTTATTCCTTTGTTTTTTTTTAATTTGACATAAGTTCTTCAATTAGTATGTCATGCAATTAGTACTCTAACCTAGTTGTTTGCTCTCAAAATGCCTCATAAAATAGTCCCTACATCTGGTAGAACCAGTACCTGTTTCAGGTCCTGGTAAATAATTATTTTTATCACTTCAAACTCTAGCCCACTTAGCAGTCACTTTCTTAATATTTTCCTCCACTGCCCAGCAACTATCACTATGCTTTCTGGCTTTCTGGATTCATCAGCTCTGAATGTTACATATAAGTGAAATCTTACACTATGTCACTTTTTGTGTCTCGTGTTTTTCAGCTAGCATAATTTGTTGAGATCAGACATGTTGTACATGTATCTGTCCTTTATTTCTTTTTTATGATTGAATATTCCATTGCATATATACATCATATTTTACTTATCCATTTATCTAATGATGGATATTGTTGTTATTGCTAGCTCTGGCTGAAGTTAGGGATTTATGTAGGAGGAAAGGGAGACAAATTGCTATTGTGAATCATACTGTTATAAATATTCATGTACTTGGAAAAAATTACAGTGCCTCAAAATTTAGTATTGTTTTGATATAGGATGTTAGGCCAGAGTAAATGAGCTGTTGTACATTTATCTGTGTTCCTTACAGAATTTGTGGCACTACTTATTGTGTACGTAATTTTGTCAGATTGTCCATAATGAGGATAAAATCGACTCAAAGTACTGAATAACCTTAATATATGTAACAATAAAGCTAGGTATCATGAGAGAGTAGAACCTACTCAATTATGCTATGCTCAGCAGCTAACAACAAGTAAATGGTATTAGATACATTTTTAGCCTTGCTACTGTCAATTACACTAATTTTTTAATGAATCAATACTAGATTTTTCTTTCACTTAAATTTAGGCAACGCATACTTATTTGGAACTACATTGAGCTCTTGTGGAAACTTCTAATTTCATGTTTTAAGCCACCTGTGGGTGCAAGATATTGATATGGGACTGATCATCCTATATAACCGTAGCCAGACCTCTGAAAATCCTGCCACTGAGTAAATTCAGCTGCAGTTTTAAGCTTGTTCACCAAGCCATGTACTTAATAATTTTTCTGCCATTTAATCCATATTTTTCCAGTAAGATGATCATTTCCAGAAGAATCTAACAAATATTTTAGGAAATGTTATCCTGAAGTCAGTCTACAGCCTCTATTTGGAATTTATTAATTCCTTATGATAACCTCTTGCTACTCAATGACATCAGGTTTCTTTAGAAGCCTCCACTTAAATAGGAAATAAGAAAACTTTTCTTTTCTAAGTTAGCATAGATATCCTTTCTCTTGTTTCAATATTTGAAAACAAATATGAAAATGGAACACGTTTATTGTAACTTGACCTTGGTTTGTGTTGATGTACTGGATTTCCTTTGATTTCAGTTTAAATACAAACAAGGCTACAGGAAGCAACTTGGACACCATATTGGATTCCGGAGTGTGCAAGATGACCCAAAACTTGTGTTGTCAATGAACGTAGCCAAAATGCAGAGTGAAAGAGAATACAAAAAAGACTTTGAAAAGTGGAAAACCAAGTACACCAGCCCAGTAGATATGCTGGGTGTGGTACTGGCCAAGAAGTGCCAGACACTGGTTAGTGATGTGGACTACAGGAACTACCTGCACCAGTGGACATGCCTGCCAGACCAGAATGATGTCATCCAAGCTAAAAAAGTATATGAACTACAAAGTGAGGTCAGTGTCTATTACATTTGTTAGTTTATGTAATGCTTCATGTTTCATATTAATAGTATTTAGTTATATAAAGCAGAAATTAGAGGAATTGTCATTGAAAATCTAAAATCCATCTATTTGTAATGCATGTAGTCACTTAAGCCAAGGGGTCAGGTGAAATCCAGATTTTGATGGCTTGCTTTGTCCTTTCACAGAATATGTATAAGTCTGACCTTGAGTGGCTGAAAGGCATAGGGTGGAGTCCTTTAGGATCTTTGGAAGCAGAGAAGAACAAGCGGGCTTCAGAGATCATCAGTGAAAAGAAGTATCGCCAGCCTCCAGACAGAAACAAGTTCACCAGCATTCCTGATGCCATGGACATAGTTCTGGCAAAAACAAATGCCAAAAATAGGAGCGATGTGAGTAACGCTTTAGAAATTGATAAAATAGAATATAGTGTCTGCTACCTAGCAGTTTCTCAATAGTATGTATTTAATGAAGGAGCAGAATAGCAAAGTATTATACTACTTTCCACAGGACAGCATAATGGTTTATGTTGATTTACTTTATGTTGATTTGTGGAATAATATAAAAATAGTTTGGTGCCAATTTTAGTAAAATTTTTAAAATCAGAATGTAATGAGAAAATTACTCAACATGGTTTTTCTGTGAAAGTTCAGGGCATTAAAGACATAATTTTATTTTTAGTTAGAATAGAGTAGATGAAGGGAGATAGTATATAGACAAAGTAGAAATTTTATAGAGTGTTTATCTGCCACATGTAGTATCTTCAAGGGCAGCCAGGGCTACTTAGTGAGACCCTGTAGAATACAAGAGAGTATTTTTTGCCAAATGATTATAATGCATTTAATATAGCTAAATTGAGATAAAATGATAATGCCTTAGCACGGTAAGTACATATATATATATATATATATATATATATATATGTATACCATCTTCAACTTACTTTTCTCTCCATTACTGACACCAGTGCAGGCATATAATAGGTATTTGATGAGTATTTATTGAAAAAAACAAATGGAAGGTAGCAGTGCAGATTAATTTTATGCTGAGTAGGGAAAGGCTACTCCTCACTACTCAACTAAATAGCTTAACCCTGAACATTACAAAAATAAGTATTATATATATATATATAAGTAACTGTCTTAGAGGATCTAAAATATGCATGCATATATGATCTAAATGTATATTTTATACATAGCATATATTATACAATGTGTTACGTATTTTACCTATAGCACCTATTTGAAAAGTTTTATATAACATATCCAGGCCCTTTTTCAGCTCATTAAATATGAATAAATTGTAACTCCTCTCTCCTTAGCCAAACTCATACACTTTGTGCAATTTTGTTTTCTAAAAGCTGTAGTAAATGCTGACCTGTCAGCTTCACTATTCATGTTTAAATATCCATTCCTTCATTTTTTTGTTTTACTATGACAATTTTAATCTAAAGGATTGATAAAGCACACATCTGTGCAAAATAATTCCCCCTTCTTCGAATCTTTTCCCTCTCCATGAAGCTCTGAACATATAATAAGGTGACTAAGGGAAAAACTGTAGATCATAAAGTTGCCATATGTACTCAATATGGGGTAGTTACAGAGATCCTGGTAGACTAATTCTCTTGGGTCCAAGCAGAACCCAAACCAGCTGTCTCTTCTTTCCAGTATATCTATGCCAGTATGAACACTATTAGCATTCTTTTTCTGGTTCCTGGGATGCAAGTGGCACATGCCATTAAGTCTGTTTTAATGGTTCTCAATAGGGACAATTTTGTTCCACAAGAGACATTAGATACCATCTAGAAACATTTTTTGCTTATTGTAACTTAGAGGTGGCATGCTACTGGCCTCTAGTGGATAGAAACCAGGGATGCTATAGAAAATCCCACAATGCGCAAGACAGCTCTGGACACCAAAGAATCATCTGGTGTGCAGCACCAATAGCTGGAAAATTGAGAAACTCTGGTGGTGGGAATGAATCAGAAAGGTGGAAGCAGAGCTGAGATAGATGTAGGTGAAAGTTAATGAACCTCACTTTGTTTTGGCCCTGGTAGTCTTAATTGGCTTCTCTGGTTTATATGTACTGAAGCAATCATGTTGAAAAAGAAGAAAATGCCAATCCCACATGTCTCACATTATACTTCTCAAACATATATTGATAAGTATGAAAATATGTTGGAATAATTTCAGTGATACATAAAAATGGATTAGACTATATATTTTTCATCCTGATTGCATAAATATTACCATTTTAACACATTTGGTTTCCTATCTCTTCCTCCTCCTCTTCTCTATCCATTTATTAATATCTGTAAGATAGTAAGTTGCTTCATGATGCCACATTAATCCTAAACACTTCAGAGTATATATCCTGCTAGTAATTTATATAACCACCATGGGATGATCAAAATCAAGAAATTAATGTTGACATGATATAGGATTTGTTCTGTTGTACCACTAATATCCTTTATGCTAAAAGAAAAACTTGTCACTAGCTCAGAATCCAATCCAAGCTCGTGTATTTTACTGTACTATACTATACTGACATATTTCTTCACTGTTACCTTGTCTTTCAAGTCCTTAAATTTCTGAGAAAAGAAAAAATAGGTCAATTGTTTTGTAGAATCTCATCAGTTTTAGTTTTCTGTTATGTCCTTGTTGATTTGGAAGGATGTCAAATGTTGTATCTTCTGATCAGGGGATACATGATATCAAGTTGTCCCATTGCTTATCATTTTAACTTTGATCACTCTGTTAAATTATTATGCCCAATTCATCCACTGTCAAGTTACTGTTTCATCATTTGTAATTGATTAAAAAGTATATTATGGGGAGATTTTCCAATACTTTAAATATTCCTGTTTTTTAAATGTTGATTCCTTAATTTCAGTAAATCTGTGAAATTTTTGTTTGGGTCCTCTTTGTCTTCTGTTAAAGACAGGAATACAGATGGCTTTGGGACATCTGCATAATCTTGATAAATTTCTAAACAGTCCTTATAGGGATCCTCAGATTATCAATTTTCTTATCCTCCAAAATAATTGTATGATAGTGTAAGCCACATCTATTTTTAGAAACATATAAGCCCTAGTTTCTAGATATACTTTGAATAAATCATTTTTTAAGAAGACAATACCAATTGTCTCCAAATTAAGAACTAAGGAAGATTTTTACATCCTAAAAGAAGTATAATTCCATTCCATTTGATATTGGCAAAGGTGCTACTTGAATTGATTTCTTATGGTCTGTATTATATATAACTTGGAAAAGGAGATCAAAAATCCATAGCTTAAGGGTGTTATATCCCAGATAAGTCAAGAAAACTGCACTTTAAAAAAAAAAGAAAACTGCACTTTTTTCTCCTTATGTTGTCTCCTTATGTTATCAATTATATTGTTCACATGAATTCAGCATATCGTTTGAAGCCAACTATGTCATATACTAATCTAAAAAATACTGAAATATTTTTATTTTTTATTTTAGAGACTTTACAGAGAAGCTTGGGACAAGGACAAGACTCAAATCCACATCATGCCTGATACACCTGACATTATGCTGGCTAAGGCAAACTTAATCAATACTAGTGATGTAAGTTTCCAAATTCAGCCTGCATTTTCAGAAAGTTCAGTTTAATTGCTTCTAAGTCCATAGAGTCAAAAGTTCTTTTGCATTTCTGAATCATTTTCATTTGCAAATGACATGAGACTTGTATTCCATATTTGCTGAATTCTAGATTGAACATCAAAATGTAAGTACTCCCTAACTGGGATTGAGTTGGAAAATTGTGCTTTACTTTCCTTTATTTCATTATTGCACATCTTATTAGAATAAACAATTATTTCACTCTCCTTTATATGGGTAGGTCTCCTTTATATGGGCAGAGATAATTCTCTCCAGATCTGCATTATTTTCATTAGCATCAACACATACTCACTGCAACTTTGAATGAACACATGAAACCCATGCAGGAGAATTTTGTTTTTAATTTTTTCTCATCATAGAGTAATCTCTTGAGATATATAGTTGTAAAAATAATTAAAATAACAAGTTGTAAAATCTAATAGAATGGCTTATTTTTTATTTAAATTTACCTTTAAGCTGAATGCTGGTTGGTTCATGCCTGTAACCTTAGCTATTTAGGAGGTTGAGAGCTGAGCATCATGGTTCAAAGCCAAACTGGGACAGGAAAATCCTGAGACTCTTATTTACAATTATCAACAAGCTGATCACCAACAAAACAGAAGTGGAGCTGCAGCTATCCTTAAGCAAAAAAAAGCTCTGGAACCATGCTTGGGTACTGAAATCAAGCCCCAGGACTGGCACACACAAAAATTATCTTAAGTAGTTATACAAAGGAGTTTCAAGACAACGTATCAGTTTATGAGTACAATGCCTCTTGATCCATGAGAGTAATTATAATATTGAAGAAAATATTGGAGTAATACTCTAAGAACTAAAATACAAAACTAGATCCAAGACCAGCAGGCATTTAAACAATCTAATTTTTAAATAAAATGCTTTAAATTTATATTCTAAATTATTTCTTTCTGTCACAAATCTGAGGAAACAATGTTTTATATGTAAGGTTTTCTAACTCAGTAATAAAAATATTTAAATATTAAATTTCACAAGTTATGAAGACTGTGTCTTACCTACAGATAGTAATCCTCCTTCAGAATGACTTGTAGCATGAGGTAGTTACTGTTTGATAATACATTAGCCATGCAGAAGCAACCACCCCTTATGCACAATTTTCCTCCACTAGCAGATTAAGGTGGAAAGGCATTGCTCTTATTCTAGCAACTTATAATGAAACACTCAGCATTAATTGGAAAACAGTGCCTAAATTATAATCCATTTCATTTTTTCTAAAACTTGGTCCCTGTTGCATTCTCATAAGTATTGGAGAAGAACTGACATTTAATTTTGTGCATTGAGGTGATTATAGAGCTTAAAAGTTTAAAATGGGCTCATTAGCAATCTGTAGCCATAATTTCCAATTACTTTTGGGTTATCTAGTGCACAGATACTATTCTCATGGACTGTTAAAGCATTTAGCATGTTGGACTCATTATGTTGCAGTTGTTTATGAAAAGTAATTTTCCCTAAAGTGATCATCTTTTTCTCTCAACAGAAACTCTATCGAATGGGTTATGAGGAACTAAAGAAAAAAGGTTATGATCTCCCTGTGGATGCTATTCCAATCAAAGCTGCCAAAGCATCTCGGGAAATTGCTAGTGAAGTAAGACTTTATCTCCTACTGATATTGATTGGATTTTAATTTATCATTTCAAAGCAATCTTAATGTAATTATAAATTGAACAAAATTCATCTAAGGGATAATAAATTAAAGCAGAGTGAAATGATCTTAGGTATGCAGTTGTAGGATGGGAATAAGATTAAAGGTACATTTATTGTATGTGGAATTTATAGCTAAAGTTAGCCTTTAATCCCTCTTATTTGAAAGCTGATATTTTTGGCTCTCCAGGCTTAGTGAGATCTTTAGAGTTAATGAGCTTTGTAATTTGCCACAATAATGGCAACAAAAGTTAATTTTTTTTTCCTTTAGTACAAGTACAAAGAAGGCTTTCGCAAGCAGCTGGGCCACCATATTGGAGCCCGGAACATTAAAGACGACCCTAAAATGATGTGGTCCATGCACGTGGCCAAAATCCAGAGTGACAGGGAATACAAGAAGGACTTTGAGAAGTGGAAGACCAAGTACAGCAGCCCAGTGGACATGCTGGGGGTGGTGCTGGCAAAGAAGTGCCAGACTTTAGTCAGTGATGCGGATTACAGACACTACCTGCACCAGTGGATTTGCCTGCCAGACCAGAATGATGTCATCCATGCTCGACAGGCCTATGACCTCCAGAGTGATGTGAGTCTAATTTTCCTTTGCTCAATTACATGATATGTCTGCTTTCCTAATTATCATAGTTCTCTGAAGTGAAGGAAGTTGAATTTCTAGAACTAAGTTCTAAATCCCTGGATTCTTGCTCAAAATGTGCTCTGCCACCCAGACATCTGTAGGTACCATTATTGTACTCCAGGGGCTTCAATGTATGCCTGTAGATGACTAATGTAGGTATCAAAAAATTGACACATTCTGTATGTGCTTTGAGGGTTTTCTGAAATTTAATATGCATTAAAAAAATCAAAATATTCCAATTGGTAGCATATTTTGTTGATTTGTAACTCATAGCTAACTTTTGAAATTTCTAAAAAAAAAATAATGTAAGCCAGGTGCTGGTGGCTCATGCATGTAATCCTAGCTACTCAGGAGACTGAGATCAGAAGATTGCAGTGCAAAGCCAGCCCAGGCAGGAAAGTTCATAAGACTCTTATCTCCAATAAACTACTCAAGAAAGTCTGGAAGTGGCACTGTGGCTCAAGTGGTAGAGTGATATCCTTGAACCAAAGAAGCTTAATTAGGGACAGTGCCCAGGCCCTGAGTTCAAGCCCCAGGAACAGTACAAAAAAATAAAAATAAAATAATAATGGAATATAATATGAACTTTTATTTCTTTAGAATCATATGCTTAACATTTAATGATTTGTCACTTGAAATTTCAGAATTTGTACAAAGCCGATCTTCAGTGGCTAAGAGGCATTGGCTGGATACCTACTGGTTCTCTTGAGGATGAGAAGAACAAAAGAGCTACTCAGATTTTGAGTGACCATGCTTACCGTCAGCACCCAGATAAGTTCAAGTTCTCTAGCCTAATGGACTCCATACCGATGGTGTTGGCAAAAAACAATGCTATTACCATGAACCATGTAAGTCCTTTCTTTGCATGCCAGAGGTATTTTTTGAGGGGTGGAAACTGAAATCTATTTATATAAGACAATTCATAAATATATGATAGGATATTAAAGTAGGTTTTAATCTTGCCAATGCAAGATTGAAGGTATCATAAATTCTCACTAAGAATCAGACTACTCCAAGAATCCAATGTATAGCCTACAAAGTTAAGAAGAGAAAGGAACAGGATAGGGGATAGGATGGGTAGGGAAGGGATGCGTGAGAATGTTGTAAGGAGTGACATTGATTAGTGTATATTGTATTCATAAACTGTTAAATGACAACTCCTTTGTACAACCACTTAAAGATATTTTTAAAAAGCAAAAAAGGATCAGACTATTAATTACAGACATATGCTTGTTATGTCTTTGTTTTAGCACCTCTATACAGAAGCTTGGAATAAAGATAAAACTACCATCCATATTATGCCAGATACACCTGAAGTTTTACTAGCTAAACAAAACAAAGTGAATTACAGTGAGGTAAGCAATGTATTTGTAGTACAAGATAAAGTTTCCTTACCATGTACTTTATAAATCAAATATAATTATCTCTGTCTACTGCAGAAATTATATAAACTTGGACTCGACGAAGCCAAGAGAAAAGGCTATGACATGCGAATTGATGCCATTCCCATCAAAGCAGCCAAGGCCTCCAGAGATATTGCAAGTGATGTAAGTACAGCTGATAAGGTCTGCTTTGAACATCACTTTGTTTCTCTTGGATCTATCATGGAGCAAGTGCACTATGACGTTAAATCCCTTGCTTATAGTTTATCTTTTTTTAAGGAAATAGATGAAAATAATGGTACTAAAATTCTCATCATGAAAGCTAAATTCTAGCTATGGTGGAGCCCATAGCACCATTTCAAAATGTGTCCATGTCCTACTGAATACTTGACAGATACTCATTTTTAGTTACTTACATAATATATTTCTTGTTAATAAACTTAGTATAGGGTTCCTTCCAAGGCTGGCCTATGCAATGAATGGGTAAATAGCTCAGAGTCAACCCATCCATATGAACCACATGTTGTCTAGGCATGTTGGCTATAGGCATTTTCTTTCCTCAACAGAGATTTCCACACTTCTCTTATTGTTATGCTGTCATTTCTTTTTTAAAAATTTTTATTTATTTTTTATTGTGAAAATACTGTACAGAGGGGTTACAATGTCATTTCTTTTGTCCATGGATAAAAACGTATTTTCCTTTATTTCAAACCAGTTGTTTAAGGATACAGGTGGACCTGTTGCAACAATGAGAAGTACAAGTTGTCATGTCCAAAACGAGCTTTACAACGTCAGTGCGG